TGCCCGAAACAACAGTACAGTCCATACAGTGGACTGCAAGGGGGAACCAGCGCCAAAAAAGCAAAAGCTATTTTGTTTTGCTGGGAAAATGATGTCGACTTTTTTTTGGGATAGTCATGGATTATTTTAATCGATTATTTCAAAAATTAAAAAACTATTACAGGAACATAGGGGCCGTTCAAGTATTACATAAGTAAATTTATTACAATTATTTACCCCCCCCCATCCCCCCGTCAGCAAAAGTAAGCAAAGCTCTTACCCCCTCCCCCATGCTTACGTAAACATTTGTCTATTAATGTATTGTTTTTTTTTATATTATAATTATAAACGTTATAATTATAATTTGAAAAATAAGATATTGATTTAGGATAGAGATTATATTTTACTGATACGGTATTCAAGATAGAGTAAAGAACAGAAATATTATATCTTATTAACATAACAAACTTATCTAAATTTTTGGTACATATATAAAAATTCAAATTAACAGTCTTCAGTCCATGAAACCCGAATCCATGATTCTAAGTTCTCGATGACATTGGATTGCTTCGATTGCTGCTCAGTGTTGTGAGTTTGATCGCTTTCATCGGATTTTGGAATGTCTACGCCGTTCTCATCGAGCCATTCAACATCGTGGTTCTCTAAATTTTGAATAATGCACATCATTTCATTAGCACGACGAGCAGCGACTCTTACAGGTCTAACTTTCCTATTAGTGTGCGTGTTTACTTTTTATGGATATTTCGATGTGACGATTTGTGACTTCACGGAAGCATGATAAAGACCACCACGTTTGCATGTTCGACTTGGATAGCCTCAATTTTACCGTGGACAAAAATAATCGTAGGGCATTTCCAGGAAATCTTTGAGTGAAGCACTTAAGCGTAGAGCTAAATTGACTGGAAGATTAACAAATTGCCCTCCTTCATCCAAAACCAAGTCATCAACTATTTGTTTTACTTTTACAGGTGGTGGAAGAAACCTATTGTCTAGTAATCTAAATATTCCACTGCTTGGACGACAGCATTCTGTATTTGTACATTTTACAGCTTGAAGCAAGTATTGGGCTCTCACGCACATGTTTTGAATACCATTTAATGTCTGGAAAATCAGGAAGATCTTGTTCACCTGCCCCAACATATGTTGCATTAACATTATAGCCATCAATTTCCATTGAACTCCATACTTCAGCTAATAGATTTCCTGCAAATTCGAAATAGATCTTTCTAAGTGTTCATCAATTGTAACGCCAGGTTCATCCAAATGAGACCCAAAATGGTCATGCGGCAACATTAAACCAGCCAGTTCCCGACTAAGAGGAGCCATTCTGAACTCTACTCTGTTATACGCACTTCTTCCAGGAGCATTGGTAGCTAAAAACAATGCATCGAGATCATGTCGCTTAAAGTGTTGTATAGCAATCCTATTACTTTTTGATAACGTGGATTTTCATCTGGCCCTCCATCAACCGTCATGATTACCACTGGTTTTACTAGTTCATGGTCAGTTTTAGCTAATGGTCGAAACTCTTCATGTTCGAGAAGCGTCTCGAAATCCTGAGCATGAGTATTAGCAGTAGATGAACTATGCTTTCCACTTCGAATAGCGATGTATGTTGGTCCAGAATATCCAACGGCTTGCGGTTGTTCTAGCATATTGGATGTGATTTTGATACCAGCATAAACAGATGGTATTCGAACTTTATCATCTTGAGATATGAAAAATACTTGATCTGGTCCAAGTATGGACGCTATGTTCTCTAAATAATGGATTGATGTTTCAGCGAACTTGCTATCTAAGTGGCTCTTGTGGTGATCAGTTTGAACCCGAATGAGCTTAACAGGGACTGTCGATACATGTCTTTGTCCCTCTGCAGGATTATATTTTCTGGGAATCAAACGAAGATATGTCCCACTGCGACTAATATCAAATCCTATTTTACGTAATTCTTGTGTGAGTTCATCAAGAGTTTTTACGCTGCGAATTGATTCCGTTCGTCTTCTATCATCTGCTGCACTCCCAAATAAAGCTATATCCGCGATTGCTTTGAATAGTGAATGTTGATTGCTTTCAAGATTAGGACGTCCCACTGAATCCCCCAGAGATAGCCTTTTTTTTATTTCTGGATTTTCATGACAAATATCTTCTTACTTGCTTTTCATACCATCCCTGTGTTTCTTCTGGGCAACTGCGTTTTGAACCTTCCTGTTTAAAGACTGTTTTGCTGTTTTTATTTCCTCGCGCAACTTAATGATCTGTTTATCAACTTCAGCACGGCTTGGCATAGTATCTCTGGCAGAATACAAAGCATTCAAATTTTTTTCGAGTAGAGCAATCTTATTTTTCATAGCTTCCTAAGAGGGTTTTGCTCTCTGTTATCTGTATTTTCATTAATTTCGCATTGCTGTTGTGATTCATTACAAGGTTTTATTTTATCTTCTTCCTCTTTTTTAATATTTGAAGCTGACTGTATAATTTGTATTTTTTCGGCAGGTTTACAGGTTGCCTAGAAATAAACTTTCTATGGCTTCTGCTAAAGATTCTCTTATTAAGCTACATAAATACAAAGTATGGCAATATATGTGGTAAATACAAAATCTAATATGTTTAAACGAGCAATTCGTTCCGGTCACAAAATACAGGGTGTTAGTTTTCTGTATATATGTATAAAACTAACATCCTGTACTTTGTGACCATTGACGGAATCAATCATAAGAAATAAATCTATAATATAATGAATCTATACTTTGAGATAGGCCATAATATTTTCTAATCAGTAAAGAGAAACTTTTTGTCGATTTCTAATATTTCTAATACTCATAGGTATCTAAGGCCCGTATCGTCAGTCGTCCCTACAATTGTAGGGCGCGTTTATGGCCTCCTTGATTGTCATACTTCTTTCTCTCCTTCAAAAATTTCCAGATTACACTTGTTCTGTGTCAGCGTCAGCGCTCTCCTATTGTGAAGATATGTTTTGTTTTTAAATTTTATGGAATTTGAGGCTGATAAAACATGATATATAAATCAAAAGCAAGCACAATTTGATGCAAATAGATGTTGGTGACATAACCTCAAAATAGAGTTCTGACACGGAGAAGTAGAAAACTATGACAATCAAGGAGGCCATAAAGGCGCCCTACACTTGTAGGGACGACTGACGATACGGGCCTAAAATGATTTCGTCACTCACCTTAGAAAAAAAATTTAGTAGATTCGATTTATTCTTAGTCGCCGCGTGCAATTCTTCTTCGATTCTCTTAGATACAATAATATCTAGTTCCTTGTCGGATTTTGCTTGTAATTTGTAATTTCGCCACACTTCGTTAACTAACTTTTGTACAATTTGTACTTTCATACTTGTATGAGTTTTTTTAAAACTTTCAACCAATTTTTGGTATAACTTGGATTTGTCTATGTGAAACGACATCTTATTTAAACATTAAACTTTGGCTAATGGAATCAATGGTAATCCAAATGTTAACTTGCTTACTATGCTTACAATACGTCTACTCGCTATGGTATCCAAACGAAACAATACACTGATAGAGGAAATTTAGACAAGTGAACACCGCGCGGTAATTCCCCTACTCGGTTCTAAAGTGAGTAGGGGAATTACCGCGCGCTGTTCACTAAACGTATGCATTATTTGCGGGAATCCCCGAAAATGCGTTTCGTTTTCAAGCAAAAAAAAAGTAAATAACTACCGATGACGTAATCATCATCTAAATTCCCCTACCCCCATGTCATCCAAAATAAGCAAAGCAAAGACCACCGCCCCCCCCCCCCCCCATAGTGCTCACGTAATACTTGAACTGCCCCATACTACGCACATTTGCAGAAAAAGAAAATCCTGTTTCATCGAGACAACGCAGTCTTACACCTCAGCGGTTGCCATTGCGAAAATCCACGAAATACGGTTTGAACTGCTTGACCATCCGCCTCACTCACCAGATCTAGCCCCAAGCGACTTATTTTTGTTCCCTCAACTGAAAATTGCGCTCGGAGATCAGAGATTTTCGTCAAATGATGAGGCGATCATCTTCGTGAACGGGTTACATCGCTGGAAGAAGTGCGTAGAGTTACAATTAGAAAATAAAAAAAAATGAGAAAAAAATTCTTGTATCTTTGTTAGGTTGGAAACTTTGCAGACCACCCTCATATACCGACCTCAATGTATCATGTGTGACCTGTTACTATACTACATTTTTGTATTATTTTGTAATTTAATTGGCCATGCGCAAAACCTTCCAGGCATTTTCCATCTGTTTATTGAGATTGAACTTCTTTAATAAACATTATTATTATCGTCAGTGGTGACTCTCAGAAAATAATATTCGTTGAAACTAAAATGCAATATTGACCGAACACGCGCATAATCAGAGTAATCTCTACTTGGAGCGGAAAAAATAAATGAAAATCCTAAAATGTACCGCATCTCATCACAAAACGCTAACATTGTAACATTTCCAAGCACGTGTTTGAATTGCATGTATACACGCGTATTTCATTTGCCTTTCGTATGAATTTAAATTCATAAAATAACACAAGCAGAGGAAAGTTCACATATAAATTTTCATTAATAATGTTATTGCCATAGGGCCCGTTTCCCCAGAGTATTTAATCCTGGTTAAATAATTATTTCAGCATTTAATTTTATTCAGAATTTCATATCCTACTTTCATTACATCATATTATTTTGCGAGAGTGATTAATGTGATATTTAAACGATTGTTTCCACGTGTGAGTTGCGTTCGTATTATACACAACCCAGATACGCTCACTACTAATTTGTTCAGCTTATTGCACTTTTTACCAACACTCAGCTTAAATGGGCTAAGACTTATTTAACTCCTTACCCCAACTGCATTATTAACATAATCTCAGATAAGTGAGATTTGTCCTCGCCCGCAGCTTCTATGTTAAATTTATTTTGTTTAGGTGCAAAATCCACTGAATTAAAATCGTGATCAATGACCTTATATAGCTTAGTATTCATTTCTAGTTTTACCCGACTTTGTGGCAAGGGAAATGATCAAAGATATAGAAAGAGAAGAAAAAGGTGGAGCTTTCCAAGTCCATCAGTTCCACAAGATTTACATCCACAGATATGAGAATGTTAGCATATTGTTTGCTGATATCAAAGGTTTTACCGGTAAGTACTGAATACAATTCTAGCAAAACAAATTATGAGAGTTAAACTTTTATAGCGTACTCGTACTTTTAAGTTGACGTATATGGAAGCTATACAAAATACTCGTATGTTTATTCTCTCAACAGTACCATTGATTAACCTAGTCTAGGTAAAGTTATAGGTAGAATTGTAATCCTTCCTTTCCGCAAAAAGTCCAGAAAAGATGGAATGCAATGAAGATTCCAACTTTTCTGCACAATCACAGAAAGGGGGTTACCATTAGCTTCCGGTAGCTCAGTCGGTGGCATGAAGACATCTACAGGCGTGTAGCTGTGTGTCGACCATGGCATGGCTAGATGATAGAAGAACAAACAAAACACAAAAATTTAAACAGATTTTATTTAACTAGAAAAGCATTTTCATTACATTACAATTTTAAAGAACAAAATAAAAGTTTGAAATCTTTGGCGCTGTTACAAAATTATCAACTTATCTTTCGCTAAGCTGGTCCATTTTGACTGGACTGAAGCGAGAATGGCCAAGGGCTTCAAGTGGAGGTCCCAGTTATGAGGGGTGAGCTCACATTTACTGGCTTCAAAACTAGTTGTAGGCGAAGGATGCAGTGAAGTTGAACTTAAACGTGATCTTCATCATCATGAAGCTGTAAGTGATGGCGCAGCCAAGGCACATGCATGGGTGAAGGGATAGGCCAAGCAATGCAAAGTCAAAGACAAAGGCAAAGGCAAAGTCAAAGACAAAGGCAAAAGTCAAAGACAAAGGCAAAGGGAAAGGGGATGGCCCCAATCTGGAAAAGAACCGTGTGCATTAGCAACGTGCCCTAATGGCCAAGGCATTTCCAATCTCAGTCTGCCTCAAAAGAGACCCAACGATTTTCTAGGTTAGAATTACATTACATAGTTTGATAAAATCAAACCGAAAATTGGAAATGCCTTTCATAAAATAAAATCATGAAATAGCAAAAAAAAAGCGTAAAACAAAAAACAACAAAAATTTCTCCACATGCTTCTGATATAAAAACACAAATATCGAATATTCATAATCAACGTACTCATAATTTCACTGAACTATGAATATACAGGGTGATTTCGAAGTTGAGTCATTTATTTTAACAGTGAGTAGATCTGATCAAAAGAAATGTTTTTTCCTTTACCATTTTTCTGGTAAAATTAAAGTAACAAAGTTATAGCCCTTTGGAAGTTTGAGTACCGCCCTGTCTCAATAATAATATTATGAGCTCGTGTTTTGCAACAACGGATATAATCCGCCTTATCGGTTCATCGCATCGGAAACAAAAAGCGAAAGAATTTGGAACGATGTTTTTACGATTATTTTATTCAGTTGTATACAGTCAGTGTCAGTCGGTAACGCGTGAGTGAATAGTGGTGTCTGTTGCGTGGCTCAAACGAAATCAAAAATGGCACATGTTTACGAAAATGCTGAACTTGTGGACATGATTCTTATTTTCGCGGCATCACGGATTTATTGCGGATCGGTTTCCCAATCGAGTGCAACCAGCCCCTCGTGCCTTTGTTAATGTAGTACAAAGGGCTCGTGAATCAGGTGACTTAAGACCTCACAGGGGACGGCATGCCGGTGCTCCAAGACTGCACGATCAAATACAGGTCCGCACTGAAATACTTGTCGGGAGGATACTTACACACATATTTTGGTTTATCTTCCTTCTACAATCATTATCTGAGAATTAATGACTCAACTTCAAAGTCACCCTGTGTATACGCACACAGAGGTAAAATCGATGTGGATCGATTTCTACCTCGATTTGATTAAAGTTATGGCGAATGATCGAAGTAGTCGAAAATGACGCTAGATGGATATTCTAAAATCGTACGAGAAATAAACCACTTACATATCGATTATCTACAAACTACGGGCAGATCCAGCAATAAAACTGTATAGTATTATAAAACTCACCATTTTTATCCTATTTGGACACACATTTTACAAAATGCTAGCACATGGTGCTATATGACCTCATGCTACAGAGAACAAAATTCTCAGCTGTTGTTGGATCGGCGGTTGAAGTGAAAAGGGAAGAGCGAGGAAGATCACAGATCAGGAACACCGCATCAAGCGCGCTCCAAGCGGAAATCTTTCCAAGTGAAAAAGCTAGAGATGGGATTAATGAGTTGCGATTCTGAAGTGAAAATCGAGAAGTGATTTAATAAATACAATCGGACGGTGAAACCGGTACAGAATGAATTAATCAATGGCAATAAACAACGAATGTCTTAGAAATATCTAGACGCCGTTAGGATGTTTTAAAATTCAATAAAAAAAAATAATATGTAAAAAGATATATATTTCATCTGAAAATCGTATTTTATGTTAAGAAGAAGCCAGTGAATCTCTATATTCCATTGATCGCCAAATAAAATGTAGGGTTGAAGATTTACTAACGTTCCGGATGACTCAGTGGCCTTTTTCAACGTACAAGTAACCGAAACGTTAGGGAATCTTCAGCTGTATATCTGTGATTATATTTGGCGCCTAGTAGCACATGGAGATTGATCAGCGAAACAACTTCAGGATAAGTTTTGGATGTTACATGAAATCTGGTATAATAAAGTGTATCGATATTTTAATATGGTCTGTATTTGTTGCCATCCAAGGATGTAAGTAAGACAAGTCAAAGAAGTGAACGTTCACTTTATAATGGAACTGGCTGTTTAGACGTTTTCAAGAATTTTTTGGATTGGCTATAAAATATCTAAATATATAACGATAACCGCAACATACAGGGTGTAAACGTTATGATAGTCATTATTTAAATGGGTGATAGAGGAGGTTAAAAAAAGCAAAAAGCTTCATATAACATGGGGGTCAAAACGGCATTTTTTTGAGAAAAGCGACTTTAAAGTGAAATAAAATCTGACAACGCCGCAATGCCAGACGCAAATTACGACGAAACGCAGTGTAAATAAAGATGGAGTTTGTTATTTTTGGCTCTTAGGTATTATTTCATTATTTGATAATGTACTCGTAAAATGCAAACAATTAAAAAAACGGACTTACCACTAACTGTCTCAGCGCTTCACCTGGTGTGTGAAAGTTTATTGAACGTATAAAAGAAATCCACTTATAAATAGGGAACACAATTTTGATACATACATTGTTTTTCTTTTTAAAACCCACACTACACTTTTTTTGTATTTAAAGAAGGTGTTCATAATGTCGTCCTCCACTTTCCACACAAGCTTCATTGCGACGAACCCAGTTTCTTGTTACTCTAGGCCCATTTATTATTTCAGCCGCATTAAAATTTTGTTCGCTAAGTTGTGCTTCAGTTGTTATTGGACCAGCCCCATAAACCATCCCTTCAAGTTCTCCCCAATACCAGAAATCCGTCGGATTGAGGTCAGGAGATCTTGTTGGCCATTTTAGAGGGTCAGGAGCATTTCGACCGATCCAGCGATTTGGATAATGTTCATTCAAATACTCAATGACGCCTCTAAAAATGTGTGGTGGTGCCCCGTCATGAAGAAACCACAATTTCTGTCTCCGTTGTAATGGCCTGTTGGCTAAGGTCTGTTCCAAAAGTTCTGGTATGTTATTGGCTAGAAAGGTAAGATATCCTTCTCCTGACAACTTTGGGCCAATTACCTGATCGTCAAGAATACCCGCCGCAATATTTATTTCAAAACGTTGTTGGAAATGACCTTCACGAATGGTATAAGGATTTTCTTGGGCCCACGTGTGAGTATTATAGAAATTTAATATCCTGTCTCGCGGAAAAGTACATCCGTCCGTCGCTAGAATGCTTTTAAGAAAATCCGGATTTTCAATATTTTTGTGCAAAAACCACTGACAGAATGTTAGTCTGCGAGGATAGTCTTTTGGTAACAAGACCTGCACTCGTTATACATGGTAGGGATATAGCAAATTTTCCCGTAGGATTCTATAGACTACGGTATGCGATAGTCCTACGCGGCGGACTCATTCCCGAGTGCTGATATCTGCGTTGATTTCCACGATATTTAAAATTTGTGCCTCCTGCTCTACAGTAACCTGTCTTTCACGAGTGTAAATATTAGTGGGCTGAACACTTCCTGTATCTCGAAGTCTTTGGTACACTTGCACAAATGTCCTTCTGTCTGGGTGTACCCGTTGGCGAAATCTGTCGTGATAAATTTGAACTGCAAGATTTGAATTCTGACGAGCTTCACAGTAAACTAACAACATGTCGGCGAACTCTTGATTCGAAAACATTTTAAATCAACACGACGACGTACGCGAAATGAAACAAAACATTATATTAACCATTGTTACCGTTTGCGATCTCTTGCCGGTTCGATAACGGTGATGATGACCGACGCGCTGTTGTCATGTGTATTTTAAATATTCAATTTAATGAAACTTACTTACTTACTGACTACAAACTTTGGCTTAACTTAGAAAAACTTAATGCCATTTATTTGCTAATTACCCAATTTAAAAGCGTTTTAGATTATATTATAAAAATTAGTAAGATTGTGGTGATTGTGGTCGATATAAAGCACTTAAAATTGTAAACTATAAAGCCGTTTAAACAAAAATCTATTGACTTTTGGACCATTGGTTATATGAACCTTTTGATTTAATAGGGGGGCTATTACCCATTTCAATAATGACTACCATAACGTTTACACCCTGTATAAATAAAAATACTTATGATAAAATCTTTTTGCGTTACTTTAGTATGCAGTAAGTTTTTATTGTAACTTTATCTAACTATTGCAACAAAAACTTTTTTGAACTAGCTTTTCATCTTATATCATCATTTCATTAACCATTTTTATCTATTTATTTATTCATCAATTTGAATATACTAGGTATTCATAAAGTATCTCACTAACCTATAAAGAGATGATTTTTCAGATAATTCTAAGAACAAAAAGTGCATATGCACGAGTAATGCTCTGTTTCAAGATACAGGATTTGATCTTTTCTTTGATTTTGTATATGGTATATAATTAACACCCTATATAAAAATACATAATAAACCTTACAGAACTATTGAAAATCGTTTTATTGGTGTTTCTACTTTCCTTGACTTTTTGGAGAATAAAATCCAATCTTAACAGTCGAGAAAAACGTATTATTGCTACGGTTCCACTATCAAGGTGAATAGATTTCAATTCATATAATGGCACTAGGTAACGTTCCAATTTCTGCAACTAAGTAGATTTAATGCTTGTTTTACGGCCTAATATTGAACTTTTATGTTTCCGCCCTATTATTCGATGATTAACTGCATTCTTGTTACAGCTTTGGCAAGCAAGTGTACAGCTCAAGAGCTGGTGAAGATTCTGAACGAACTGTTTGCCAGATTCGACCGACTTGCTCAGGTATGTTTCAAATTTTGAATTATGGTCAACATTCCAGACTCTGATTTATTGGTATTGCTTGAAGGAATCGATTTTTAAGTTCTGTTTTTCACGTCCCACTGTTAAGAGACGTTTCAGTGGTTCAATTACTCATCTTCTTATATACAGGGCGAATAAAAAACAGTAGCTAAACTGACAGATCGTACAAGGAAAATAATACAAAACATTCCTGTTATACACTGAAAACCAAATTAGTCGCACGGCTTGAGTTCAATGTATACGGTAGAGAAGTGTGTATATATATGTACACATGCGTTAGAAAGAGATAGAAGCCGACAGGGTAGCGAAGCTCATTACCGCGTTGCCTAGCAACTCTGACATTGCCGCGTAGCCAATATGTTACACCAGTTCCTTAAATTAAAATGCATGGGGGGGGTAGTATATTTATACGCTCCCAGACACAGATTTCCTCGTACAGTTGCCTTTGAAACCTGACTAGTACAAAAATGTTTTCCATCTGCATACTCTTTCCATCCAAGCTCACCGCCCGGCGACCCAATCCGAGTAACTTAACTGTCCAAACTGCAGCGCAAAAGACATACACGGACTACGCACGGAATTAACAATAACTCGCTGCAGCGATGCCGCACTGATGTGGAGAGACAACGTTGCCAGATGGACTGTAACTACCGGTAGGGCAGAGAAAAAAGAGACTTGTTTGACTGACTTGATCCGTTTAACTTCCATTTTACATATTCATAACTAAGTCTTTTCTCAGAAAGTCTAGCCCAGGCTGCAGAGAAAAAATCGATATTTCGTGTAAAAAAGTTTAGCAGGCTTTTGAAAGATTTAATTCTACTGACAAATACAAATACAAAAAAGACATAGCCAGATATGCGTTGTTTTTATAAACAATGGAAAAGCTTAAAATTCGGTATTTTGCTTGTATAATTTTCAAATTAAATTTCATAAATAATACGTAAACTGGAGATTTTAGAGCATAAAAAAGACCTTCAATTTTATTTTTTGAAAATTAAAGTCGATAAACGATTAACCTAAATGCGGGGCTTTTTAAGAATATTGAATGAATATTGCAATAACAATTGTAAATGATTAAACATTTGTGAGATTGATCGGCTTAATAGTTTATGTAAAATGCGAATTGTTTATCCCAGAGACGAATCATTTAAACAACTGTTATTTTTCAATGTACTAAACTAAAGTTCAGCTGTCTCTATTATATTTCTTATGGTTTCAATGTTTTCAAGAATACGAGTTCCATCTCATTGAGTTTTAGCTGTTTTCTCACAAATAAAACAAGTTAGAAAAATCAAAACCACGATATTTGGGGTATTCCTTTATGGTGTTACTCGATATTACCTATGCTTGTTTTTTGCTTTAAGAATACTGCACTCTCTGTCAGTTATATGTACAATAACAATTATGATGAATAACCATCGACGATAAGTCTTTCATTTTGATATGCTTATTTTCTTTTCGTGTTTTACTGCTTTCAATAAATTTCTGAATACCAATCTCTTCAACTTCATGCTTTTTATCTGTTTCTCTATGTCTCTATCACAAATTATCCAAACAGCAGCATCTTGAAAATCTGACGATTGACCCTCTTCTCAAAATTTCAAATATTCATTGTAAAATAAACAATACATTTAATTTAAATTTGCTCCAATAAAGATTCAAATTCAATTGTAACGAAGATAACCATTACAGGTTTACTCTATGGAAATAACCATTAGAATAGTTACACCGTAGTATAAATAATTAAAAAAAGTAAACAGTTTTTAGAGGAGAGTAAAAAATGTAAAAAGAGAAAAAACACCACATATAATTTAAATCTTAATTCAATTTGATTAATTTAATTTTAATGTATAGTAAGAGTGATTTATTGTTTCATAGTAACTTAATTCTGAAGAATTTTTCCAGAATTTCCAGATCTTCTAGAAAAATGAAAATGTGCCAGATATCGTTATTTCCACGAGCTACCCCAAATTAAAAAAAGAAGGTTCTAAGTTGCTTAGAAGCCGAGATAATGAAAAATTTTACAGCGCGCTCCGATTTGTTCCCCCCACCGCCTCACCCGGAAATACTTACACGAGTAGCTTCACTTTAGGTGGCTATTTCTTGAAGACCTCATAAAATTAAGATCCTTAATTGAAATCTGTGACAATTTTGAGTCCTGATGTTTATGAACAAAAGAGACGATTTTTTCTAAAAAAAATATCTTGGCTCATATTGGTCGTAGACGGTATAAATATGCGTTTTTAAATACCTGTCCAGATCAACTTGTTAAAATAAATTATATTGAAAAATAACAATTTTGGAATCAATAATTAATTTGTTACATACATTCTGGAACTTCAAACCTTCAAGAATCTATTCCACTTTTGTAAAATGTTCTAGGACCATATCTTGTTTAAATAATTCATCTATGGGATGAAATTCAGCACACTTATTAACACCAACGGTACCCTCATTCTGACAATTTTTTTGCCATTTTACAATTGGTATTGCAATACTTATAAATATTTATTCAATATTGCTAAGACTTTAGCTTGATTACTTAACGATTTTAATTCTTTACTAGTCTAATTTTTACCGAGCATAATCCTTTTCGAACTGATCACAGCGTTCATGGGAAATGCAGGGTCAACCTACTTGATGACATTTTCTCTAATATCATAGAGAAATATCGATCATTCCTTGTACTGCAACCGAATTAAGTTTCCGCTGACATGCTAGTCATAGAATTAGCGTCGAAATCAAATCATGGATGCATCATAGATAATTAACATTGATTCATAATTAAACTAAACGTCGCCGAATGGGAGACTGAAAATTGAACGGACATTAAAATTATTGATTGCTCGGAAATTAAGCTTGATATTGCGTATGACTGGATCAGCTTCATAACAGATGCTTCAAAATTAATCATTCAGAAAATGCGTACACGCAACTCGCACATTCCTTTAATCTAGATGAGTGAGTTGGGAACTTGACGCTCTTATATCTGATGTATCAATGTTTGTTTGGAATTCAAATTCATTTTCCAAAATTACGAAAATCTAAAATTATTCTTTGTATTCTGATTACCGTTGTCTCAAAGAAATATTTAAGTATATTCTAAATGTCTAGTATTAAATATGGTCATATGTTTTAATATGACCAAAATAAGGTCAAAATTTAAAAAAATGTATAGATTGTCCTATCCGTCCCAATAAGCACATGCTGCTTGTGAAAGGGTTTTCAGTTTATTAGGTAAATTGTATATCAAATATAGAGAGCTTGTGTATCGAACAACTAATAAGATTGAACTTTAGTGAAAGTTGCTGAATTTTTAAAACTCCTTTGAATACTCCAAAGGCCACCAAATTGGTGGAATCGGTAAACTCAAATACCAAATACTTGTGGCAAAGTAGAAAATAAGTATATTTTAGTTCCGATATTTTGATTTCATATGTTCCATCTGTAACCCCAAAAGATGCAAAAAAATATTTTTTGTAATAAATTTAATTTTAATAATAAAAAATAGGTTTTTCATTGATAACATTTATTTGTCCCGACTATAATCACAACGTCCCGACTTTTTGAGGTTTTACCTAGATATTTCAGTCATTCCTGGAAGCCATAATAGTAGTGGTGGGGAGACGAATCCTAGGCCATCTTTGAGCACTTTGACCCCATAGTATCAACACACTGTATTACTCCATAAGCCGTCTACTGGTAAACGTTGAAAATACTGAGCATATACCTTTTATAGGCAAAATACCGATATTCCGTTGAAATATGAAAGCTTTGGAAATAGAATATCGTAATAGACACTATAAAAATAGTAAACGTGTGAAAGCTACAGAGCCAGTATACATGTCTCCATTTTTTTCCAGGAAAATTACTGTTTGCGAATAAAACTCCTCGGGGACTGCTATTACTGCGTGTCAGGGTTACCAACTCCAAGATCGGATCATGCACACTGCTGCGTAGAGATGGGATTGCACATGATCAAGGCTATCAAGGACACAAGGCAACGAACACAGGTAAAGGATCTTGTAGTATATCTTACAGGGTTTGTCCGGAAAGTAATAGGACTCATTTTCTTCCGTCATGACTGTACTTCGGAGCGTGCACGCACCGCCTGGATTCGGTAGAGGGCGTTCCTAGCTAACGAATGAGCGGCTGGTCAGTTGTCTCCGAGAACTTGGAGAGTCAGGACAGGCATTTTCGCGCGACGTGTTTCTCTGAGTGGTGCAAGCCGAAAATGCAGCGTTCGTTAGAGCAGAGGTACGCGATTAAATCTAGTGTGAAACTCGGTAAATCTGCGACAGAGACGTTTGATATGATCAAGCAGGCTTACCCAGGTGTTGCTTTAGCAAGAAGTGGTGTGTTTCGGTGGCACCAGGCCATTTTGGAGGGCCAGGAAGAGGTCGCTGATGAAGAGCGTGCTGGAAGACTTTTGACTTCGACAAACACCAATAATGTAACTCGTGTGCGTAAAGTTTTGAACTCAGACCGTCGACTAAGTATTCGTTTAATTGCCCAGATGTTAAATTTACCAAAATCTGTGGTTCATGACATTGTGACACAGCATTTGAACATGCGCAAGGTGTGCGCGACGATGGTCCCAAAAGTGCTCACTGAGTGGAAGTGTGCCAAGAAAATTTGAACATGAGTGAAAGTGACCCCCAATTTTTGAATAACGTAATCACAGGTGACGAGTCGTGGATCTTTGAGTATGATCCCGAGACAAAGAGGCAATCTTCCGAGTGGCACACGACGGCGTCTCCTCGCCCAAAAAAGGAAGAGTGAGAAAATCCAATGTGAAAACGATGCTCATTATCTTTTTTGACATCAAAGGCATCGTCCACCATGAATTTGTTCCTCCTGGACAAACCGTCAACGCCAAGTTTTATGTGGAAGTGCTCAGGAGACTCAAACGAAGGGTCAGTCGGGTCCAACAAGACATCGCAGCCGACTGGAAGTTGCACCACGACAACGCCCCGGCTCACACCGCCTTTCTTGTGAACAGGTACCTGACCAAGGCCGGCATCCCAACGCCTCCGCAGCCGCCCTACAGCCCAGATGTGGCCCCCCCGGACTATTTTTTGTTTCCTCGCCTAAAAAGGCCAATGAAAGGCAAGTATTTTGAGACGACAGAGGGGGTCCAAGCAGCATGCACCGCGGCTCTCAAGGCTATTCCGGAGAATGCCTTCCGTGACGCCTTCAATGCTTGGAAATCGCGCTGGCAGCGCTGCATCGACGCAGAAGGAGCCTATTTTGAAAGTTTTTAATGAATTGTAACGATTGGCTCAATATTTTTTTTTAAATCGACTCAGTCCTATTACTTTCCGGACAAACCCTGTACATTTAATATGCTCGCCTTGTTGCTAGACCTGACCTGTGACTCGAATTCCGTCTTCTGTTTTACCAAATGACAAGTTTCTGGACGGGCAGCACCAAGTGCCCTATCGTCAGTCGTTCATGCAATTGTAGGACGCCTTTATGGCCTCGTTGATTTTCACAGTTTTTCCTATGCTTCGGAAAAAAAATTCTAGATTTCTACTGCTTTGTACCAGCGCTCTATTTTGAGGATATGTTCTCTTTTTGAATTCTAACAAAGGAGGTGGGTTGATAAGTACCATTTTTCGCCCATAACACACTCAAAAATGAAAAGTTTGATTTCAGACTGTTATTGAATTTATTTGTGAACTTCAAGACGTGTATTTTTCCATTATATAATATTTACGGTATGAATATTGTAATATGCTTCAGAAAGTATTGCCAAGAAATAGAGTATTTAGCGCTTTTTGTGCATTTTTGTTGTTTTTCGATATTGAATCATGTTTTCCCTACGAAGCATTTAATGAACCACATTAACTTTAATGTTCAATGAGTCTACTTATTATAATCTTGTATATGATTATTGCAATCGCTGCGTGTTCAGGCAAGATTTTTCGTGATTCGAATGAAGAAGGCAAAGAAGAAGATTAGTAAAAAATATATTAAGTGAATGAAAACTGATTATCTTTTATTATTGTTGAATAAACATATATAACAGCTAGATAATTATTTAATTTATGTATACCACGAATTTCTTTGTTCATGGGCGAAAAATGGCTCTTATCAGCCTATCGCCTTTCAGGCTGTGAAATGTCTTTGAATTGTTTTATCAGCCTGAAATGTCTTAAGATTAAAAAGAAAACATAGCCTCACATTTTTCTTCAGTCAGTACTGATAATAGAGCGATTAAGTATTCCGATGCTCCAAATACTTTTTGTTTTTGCATTCTCGGTGTTTTAATTTCGTCTCCCATCACTGGTACTAGAAAATGGCACTTATAGAAGTTTCGCACTTCAGAGTACGTATATTTACCGATTTCCTCAAAATTGTTTTCACTTTGCCTGGTTTCATTTGAGCTAAGACTTCAAATGAAATTGTACATTAACATCCAACTAACTTTTATTTGCTACAAAGGTGGCATGATTAAAATTTCGATCTGCTGCTTTGTCTCTTGTCCCCAATCATCAACTTTATTTCTCTTATTGCTGCTATATTAGATTTTTGCACAGGTGAATAAATACAGTGTAAATTCTGAAGGCCTTGAAAATATCGGATAGTCGTTTGTTTTATAATATCCTCAGCCAAGCATCCTATCACTCTTTATGGCAGTTAGTATAGGTAAACAGTCCTTATTTCCGATTTTTATGATGGGATTCATATTCTAAAACTTCAAATATCTAAAAAAGTAATCTAACTAAAATCTTTTAATATTCTTTAAAGATAGTAATGAAAAACATTGGAAACTGTATCTTAGGCCCGTATCGTCAGTCGTCCCTACAATTGTAGGGCGCCTTTATAGCCTCCTTGATTGTCATAGTTTTCTACTTCTCCGTGTCAGCGCTCTATTTTGAGGTTATGTCACAAACATCAATTTGCATCAAATTGTGCTTGATTTTGAGTTATATCATGTTTTATCAGCCTCAAATTTCCTACAATTTAAAAGGAAAACAAATCTTCACAATAGGAGGGTGCTGACGCTGACACGGGACAAGTGTAATCTAGAAATTTTTGAAGGAGAGAAAGCAGCATGACAATCAAGGAGGCCATAAACGCGCCCTACAGTTGTAGGGTAGACTGCCGATACGGGCCTTAGAGTAGGTAAAGGCCGTGACAGTGTCACAGGTTGTTAAGCACATTTAATATTTGTTGTATCTAAACCGACGCACACGTTGCATCGTAAATAAAATATTAATCGAAGGCTAAGGTGTCATGTAGTCGCGTCGTGCTAAAATAATAAAATAAAGTTTTTTTAAATAATTGGGATTTACTAATATCATTGCATGATATGCCGAAACTACCAATTTTTCGGTATTTCTACCGAAATGGGACCTTATTTAACGAAATACCGAAAACGTCCTCATTTTCCACGATTTTATAAATTAATTCAGATGATTCCAGGATGTTTTTACCGAAAAATAGCTGGAACCAAAATTAGAGCTAAAAAATGATTTATATGTAGTTTGATGCCCCAGACCAATCATACAAAAGCGTACACTTAGTCGGGCACACGAGGAACGTAGGGTTGCCTATAATTATTTACGAACAACATGTTTTACTCTACTTTTCCTGTATTGGTTTTTGTACGTACAACAGGTACACAACCATGGTATACAACCATCATCATCACCGTATCACTGGACGAGCAATAAGGAAACCAAAGATTGCATGATTTTATTAAATATTAAATACAAATGCCAGGTGATGAAACATAAGGTTCAGTGGTAAAACATAATATTCACAATCTTACAACTAAGAACGGAGAAAAGGGTTTCCAGGATGGTTGTAAAGGAGTTTGAATAGCGACCAGTATGCTCATTGTACAACTTTTAATAAAGAAGTCAACACTTTTTCAGGAAAAGGTGTGTGCGTGTATAAAAATATGCGATTTTTTCATAAACTTCGCTTGATGACGCAAATGCGTTTGAACCACCGCTGGCCTTGCGACAGCCTTGATTTTTTTCTCTTACTGATTTTGTCTTTGAATCTACCGAATTTCAATGGCCCTATCTACCAATTACATCTTTTTCGATTCAGCAACGCTGGACCTATTACACATTCTTGGAATCAGAATTAAAAACTGTATTCACATGTACAAAAGCCAAGAAAGAAAACAAATATGATTATTGAACACAAGAGACGAAACGTCATATCTAATTTGTAATTATACCAACCTCTTAAAGAGAAAAGTTGGTAACGTCGGTGTGTAATTTAATTTGAAATTCCACCTCAAATTAATCCAGGAAAATGAGAACTGTTTTGAGAAAATAGTTTTTTTGTCAGTCTCCCGAAATACTCTGATCTGCGAATCTTTCGAAGTGTAATTTTTTTGGGGACCTAAATACGCGACTTGTCTCCTACCGACTCATAGAGGGGTAGAATTCTAAAAAGCTGTCCAAAAATCAAATTTTTAGTTGTATATATTCGTCTGTATACGTTTAGATCTTGTTTACGGACAGGGCAGGTATATACTTGGTCGTCTTGACATCAGTCGACATTCAGCCGTCGTTCGCTACGCACTAAGCAAGTGTACACGTCGAAAAATTCTGGCCTGTTTCGAAGTGCTGCAAAACAGGCGAAACTATCTCAATTTGAATTTTGCAAAATGCAATAACTTTCTGAAGGTATGCAAAATATATAGTTATGCACAGTTGTTGCTTATTTTATGTTTTAAATATTTAAATTTTACAACAAATAAACAATAAACAATTGTAAATTTTTTTCTAAAATCGATTTTCTAAAGTAGTTTTAAAAATGTCTTCGCGAGTCTTGATCTTGTTTCGACAAGGAAGTGATAGTGTATAGTATGAAATATAATATAGTAAAAATCTGGCTGCTCAGGAGTGCTCAACGAATAGTTAGACTGATTTTTAGGGAGAAATACGTGGCGCGACAATAATGGACGTGTGACTGTAATGCATTGATTATTACGTTACAGAACATTGGAATATTTTCTGTTTATAAACATTGATTAATGTTATTCTAAATGTTATTTTGCAGTTAATTTCGAGAGGGTATGATATAGACGAAGAAAAGTTAAAAGACTATCGTGTAAATACTGCCCGTTTATTCGTTGCTTTATATCCATGGTATTACATGCCAACATCTGTACATAAAGTGTTGATGCACGGAGCAGAAATTGTAAAATATGCCCTTTTACCGATCGGACAACTTTCTGAAGAGTCCCAAGAGTCACGCAATAAGGACATTAAGAAATACAAATTAAATAATGCAAGAAAATGCTCTAGAGAATCGAATTTGAGAAATATCTTCAATAGGCTCTTAGTAACATCAGATAAATTTCTCTCAAGCATCAGGAAATTGCCCCAGGGACCGACGAAATCTTCACATAAAGAAGCTCTACAACCTGAAGTCGCCAGACAAGAGACAAGGAACGATTCCGATTTAGATACAAGTAGGTCAACATCAGAATGCGAATCGAACGATTCGAACATTGAAGATGACGTACAAGGTTTTTGTTATTAGAAGTAAATAACAGATACTCATTTTGTTGCAAATTTTTATAAAAAAAAATTGGTAGATAAAAACATTGCTCGAAAAATCTTATACTCATTAAAACCTAAAAATATTATAAAATATTTTCTATTTAAAAATATTAAACAATAAAAAAATTTTGCAGAAATCTCCATATATCGCGTCTGCTATTTTGAAATTGACATTTTGATAACCAATTCGTAATCAGCGATACCAAAAACCATAAACAAATACAATTGGGTATTTTTACTGGATTATTTGACTAATTGGTTAAATTATGTCCGCCATTTTGAAAATCGTAATTCTGAAAACAGATTCATATTCAGCAACCCCAGAAACCCCCGAGAAGAGAATTTGAGATCATTTACGACACTTTCTGAATTTTGGCCAGCTTTTTGGGATTCTGCCCCACTGTGCGACTTCAAGATTCGACTGATGAGAGTCGAATTTGACATTCCCAGTATGCCACATAACTATACATCGAAACTACAACAATCAAGATCTACTTGATATTTCAACACTTTATTGATTTCATAATCGCTCACAATAGTCTTTCAGATCTTGAATAGAATCCTTTAACCTCTCCTTGTATTTTTCATCTTTTTTCGCGTAATCTTCAACTATCAAACCCCTGTCTTCCATGAACAGCTTATCTTTATCTTCACTGTCAAAGTACTGTTCAGGAACTCCATCTTCAATTAGAATGATTTGAAAGTAAATCGCTGTAACTACAATAGCGAACACCTTCTGCTCTTCGCAACTATCCATGAACTCGGAAAATGGTAGCACCTTGTTTGGATCCACTCCGGACAGCGTAAGGTACTTTTCTAAATAACTATAGTACACACCAAGGACTTCGTAGAGATGCTTTTGTCTGAAACTCCTCGAAGTAGTAAAGTATATGAAAGCTAAAACATCTTGTGATGGTGGAGTATATCTACAATATTGGAAATCTACGAACTTTACCTTCTCCATATTTGTACTTTCATCTTTTTGATCAGTATGTTACTAGACCACGTATCTCCATGGGTTAGAACGTTTTTGCATTTTTTCGATGGTTTCGCCAACTCACAGATCTTATAGCAAACTTCTTTTGCTAGTTCTTTGAAGTTTTTCCCGGAATTCAACTTCAAAGGAAATTCGAAAATGTCAATTTCTCGCAAAACGCCTCTTATAGATGCTTCAATGCCCTTTTTATTTGCAAAGTTTTCACTGCAATCAAAGAATGATTCTCTCAAGTTGTCGCCATAGATTTCCAACAGGCTTTCCCCTCGTTTTTCTTCGAAAACAATCGTGCCAGCATGAAAATTCGCTAGGGCATTCAAGATTGTCAGCACAGAATCATATTCAAGTACTGGATATTTATCAAGCGTCTTATAACCATCTTCAGATAGATTTTCTAACACTAAGCACGCATTATCTTTACCTAGATAGAATTTTGGAACTACGTTGGTTAGGATAGTAATTCCAACTTCTTGGTAACGTTCCAGCAATTCATAAACAAAGATTTCTTTGGTGAAAGCGCCGATAGCTTTGGCAAATTCTGCTTGCCAAGTTATTTTGGAAGGAACTTCACGAAGAACGATTGAGTTTCTTTCACTCCGCTGCTATTCAAAAAAGTTATTTCGAGATTTTCGTGGCGTCCTAACATCCCAGGTGTTGCCAGCGGTTTTAATGCTTTTCTGATGACGACAAATTTAGTTCCGCCAAGATACTTTTGTAAGATTTTGTTGACGTCCTCGCCCGAGATTTCCTCCTCGTGCTCTGCAGATTCTAGGTCCTCCATAGCTAGAAGAAAAAATATCTTCGTAATACTTTGTAACAAAACCTTCGTGAAATGGTGTTTTTAATTTTTTTTGTGAAAAAACTACGTTTGAAGCTATTTGAGGGCGTATTGGGGAAGGTGAACGCATTAAGCTTTCTTCTACTCTGCAGGCATGTTAATAATGTGGAATTAAGGGAAACATAGTTGTAGCAAGAAAAAACATGAATTACAAAAAAATAAAAGGATGCAGATTATGTACAGGGCCACATTCATCGTAAAGGTTTGCGGAAAAAAGTTTTTACTAAAACGGCCAAGAAAAAAAACTGGAGTTTCTGAAATGGCCGCTAGGGGGCATAACTGCAATTTTGAATCTAAAAAAGGGATGTTTTTGTGAATTCCGCTATTAACCTAACAAAAAAAAAACATGCTCTCCAAATTCGAGGATAATCTGAACCTTTTTTGCGGTATCTCCAAAAATGAGGTGGTAGGGGGTATTCAAATATTTCCGTGAAAAGCACCGTGTATCTTCGAAGCGCCTGAACTGATTTTAACAAACTTGAGCTAGTTGAAAAGAGCTATTCCTGGGCTATAAATGTTGTAACATTTGAAGTTTTGTTGGTTTCACATGTAACCGCTAGAGATTTTCTCAAATAAATTGAATGCATTGGTATACTTTTTTATGAAAAAGTAGCTAAATGATGTCTAAACAAGCTCGCAAAAACCGCATTTTGATATCTTGTTCCTAACCTAAAATTTAGGAAAAAGAAAATTTTTTACGGAATTCACTTAAATTTTCATTTTTTGAACTAATCTTTCTGGAATTATTTTATATTTATCAGAATAAAATCACCCTTTTTGAAAATATTACAAAATATCGCTAAAAGGTAAGTAAGTAGTGCTAATAACAAAAGGCATATTTTTGTTTAAATGCAACAAATATCTAATCAAAACATACATTCGCGTTACTTTGAGCATTTTTTGAGCTTACCTAATGCATTTGACGAAAGATTAAGCTGTTGATATGCAAGCAAAACTTTTTTCAGTTACCCCAACTTTGTTAAAATTAGCGAAGATGATACAGGGTGTTTTTTACGGAAACCTTTGAATACCGCACACCACATTATTTTTGATTGAAATGTTTCCATCAGACTTCTTGCTTTGTTTTTATTTTCATATTCATCTAGTGACCTGCACCAATTTTTGTTTTCAAAAGCTTCCTTGTTTACTACCAAAACCATTGATTCAATTGTTATTTGTAAGATTGAGAAAAACGTATAGATATTAAAAACTTGAGACTCTAAGCACATATACCATTACAGTTTAACTTTATTTTGTTGGAAAAACACATTGTGTAAGCAAATAGCACTCGGATTCTCTCACAACAGATGGCCAATTGTTAGAGAAAGTGGAATGAATAATATACTAAGTGACATATAAATCCGAACACCCAGTTTAAATGGTTTTATTTTAATAAAAATTTGTATAAGTACTTAATGAAGCATAATAAGTAAATGATAAAAATTTCAAAATGATTGCACTGCTTTAAAGCTCTTTGACCTTTAATAATGTGTGGATGCACCCTGATCATATCCCACACGTGCTCAATTGGGGATAAGTCGGGAGATCTTGGTGGCCATGGTAACAATGTGACATCATTATGTTGAAAGAAGACTATTGTGACTCTTGCAACATGTGGTCGGGCATTATCTTGTTGGAAAGTTGGATCTGCCAGGGTGTCAAGATAGGGTAAAAGATGGGGTTCTAGAACTTCGTAGATATAACGCTGCGCGTTCATGTTACCTCTGATGAAGATTAAAGGTGACCTGGAACCATAATCTATAGCACCCCAAACCATAACTCCAACAGTGTGCTGAACATGTCTTTCAACAAAAAACTGTGGATTCCTCCTTTCACCACGTCGCCTTCTAACCCTGGCACGACCATCGTGCATGCCTAAACAAAATCGAGACTCGTCACTAAAGACAATACTGTTCCATTCCTGATCCCAGAGTGACCGTTGTCTGCACCACTCAAGGCGATTACGTCGGTGTTCTCGAGTTAAAGGGAGGACCCAGTGTGGCCGGTATGAAAACAAGCCAAAACTTCTCATTCGTCGGTAAACATTTCGCATGCCAATAGGTCTTCCGTGTTCTGCAAACCATTCATTTGCAATGGACCTGGTAGTGGAGAAACGGTCCCTTAAGGCTCGTTAGGCGGCGATCTTCATGGTCTGTTGTTCTACGGCGGCGTCCAGTGCCCCTTGCTCTTTGCGTACGGCCTTCTCGAAGCCATGCCTGACAACACCTAACCACAGTGTCTACACTTCTTTGCACTCTAACTGCAATTGCCCGAAAAGAAAGTCCAGCTTCCCGAAGTCCCACTATACGGCCCCTATCAAACTCACTAAGTTGACGAAATCGTACAGGTCTCCGTACTCTAGGCATCGTAACCGATCGTAAAGGATGTCAAGAACCAAAATCCGCCAACGTTGATTCTTTACTGCGGCTGAAATATTAATTTTTAAAGCATTAGTGAATTAAAAAAAGCAGTATAAAAACCGGAATGTCCAACTGATAAGGCTGAAAATTTTTTCACTTGTTATTTACAGTAAGATAAATACAGTCACCAACTTTTATTAAAATAAAACCATTTAAACTGGGTGTTCGGAATAATATGTCACTTAGTATATGTCTGTTAGCAAAGAGTCGATTTAAATGTAAAATGCGTAAATTCGCTTTGCGCGGAGTGTTCACTTTTCTCGGGTTTATCCTCACCTTCAAAAACTGTTTGAAATAACTATTTACTTTCAGATGGAATGGATAAATATAATCTTCTCAAAGACATCAGCCACAGCTATTAGTTTACACAACTCCAGTAAGAAGTCAGGTAGTTGGAAGAAGAGATAAGAAAATATTACTTAAAATATTTATACAGTTTTTGTTGATTTGGAAGTTTCACATCTAATTTAGGCTAACAAAAAGTATATTTTTATAAAATTTTGCTCATCATGTGACTCTGAATCGAGGTAATTCTTATCGTAAAATCTGGACAACCCGTATATGTAGATGGGAATTTATAAAAATCAAAACTATCCTCATATAATCACAGAAAAGAATAAAATATTATAGATAATACGAAACAGATAGCTAATCATATGCCAAAGAGATTATATAATTATAATACGTACCAAATAGACAACAACCTTAGTTATCCAACACTCAAATTTTTATGTTTGTGCAATCAAATTTTTGCTATCCCACTGTCACAACACTTATGTATAAATAAGTCCGTATAACAACTCGAATTATATTGTTTTACATTTAAATGTGAGAAGACGGTCTTGCTTGAACTTAGCTTAATGAATTACTGAAGGTTATCAAAACAATTGACAAGGCTTATCAGATACACTGCATTACAGTCTATTTACTATTATTTTATTAGCATACGTTATATTGTCATTTTCCGTGTATACATTTTACATACATGGTGACGCAGACTGAGATAAGTCACAGGACACAGAAGATCACAACGGACCATTATAAAATAATATAAGCCTCAAACAAGATCACGACACTTTACGATTATTAGCGATCACCTAGGTGCACAAGTTTTATACAATACAACAACACAAGCAGAATATTAGTATTTGGCATACAAAGCAGTGTGATTGAGGTTTCCTGCAGCGAGTCTTTAAAAAACCCTACTTATGATCCGAACCAAGACCACTGGTGGATTTAGAGGGAGGGGGGGGGGGGCGTCTGACATTTGCTTTTGCAATCTAACATCAATGTGTTATTTTCTGTCCCATCATGGTGACAGAGGCATACTAACTATAAGTTATAGCTATAGGAACTGAGCATTGCTGTCCCTCTTTGACATCACTTGTTTACCGTACAACTCTTACGATTTATACGTATATACGAGTATTATGACTTGTGACAAATCTAAGTCTGGGTAATATATTAGCTATATAGATTGCACTTAAAAAGTGATTTATGTTCTGTTTGTTACTCAATAGTAATTTGAAAAGTGTGTAAAGCTTGACTGATTTTGTTCGGGGTTGGTGTTGCAGCGAAGCACTATGTTAGATGAATGACTAAATTGGATATAGTCATTTATGAGATTTGCTTAGCGGTGCGCCTGTGGCCTGTCTAGAAACTGCGCCGATCGATGCTCAAAATCAATACCACACGTCCGCATCTCTTATCGCGTATGTGTCTATTTATGTTGCTATATTCAATTTGTTTAAATCACAGAGCTGCTACACTATACGTGAATATGACAAGCCCTGTATTCCTGTACTTGTTTAGTTCAAACATATATCAAAATAATTACGATCTAACAGATACAGTTTTTTCCAAGGATTTCCAACATTTCTACATGCGATCAACAGCGGTTCGTAAACTGAGAAAACAACAATGCCGTAAATCTAAGTTCGACAACGAAAGTCTGAAATAAGTGTAACATGTATATTGAATTCCACAAACTCCAACCCCTACTGAGCGGGGTCATGGCAAATGCTTGTTCCGGAAGGTGCTGTATCTAGCATACAACTTCTTCCCGTACAAGTGATTGTACACGCGTTAAGGAATACCTCAGTACTGATTGCCGGGTGGCAGTGCAAGTCCGCCAACAGGTCTATTTAACATCATTAACACGCAAAAAGAATTTGGTAGACACGGACGAGTCGACCGAGGCGGTACCACCCTATAGCTTTTCCCAGGGTGTCTTATAAATGTCCGCATGTTTCCATACCTAGGCTATGCAGTCGGTTATCTTACAAAACAAATTAAAGATGATGGATCCCTCGAGTACTAGGAATTCCGGATGAAGCTCACTCCACTATCAGAATGTCCGGATGGAGGGTGGACTCGAGGGAACAACATCGAAGACAACATTTTTTTCACGAACATCTGCGGGATTAACAGCAACATTGATGCTGTTCATCACTACCTGCAATCCAATCGTCCCGCCATGCTTTTCTTGGCGGAGACAAAAATCTCAGTCCGCACCGACTAACCATCTTAGCTTACCAAATTACGAGGTGCATTCCAATCTGAGAAAGATCGGTGGAGTTGTGGCTTTTGTCCGCAGCAGTCTTTCCTGTTGCAGAGATGTTTCTTTGGAATCAGATCGGAAGGACATTCTTCCTCTCTACCTTCCCTCGGAGAAATGTCTGTTTCACTGACGCGGATGCGTCGGCTGTCTGTTCTTCGATAACCAAAATTATCCACGTCGGAATGGAGGAATACATGCCTCATACTGCTGATATAATAGAAGTGCTTGATTGTGTCAGTATTAGCACAATTTACTTGATTTGTTTAATCGGCAGTTCAGAGTCTTAATCCTTAAGCTTATTACATACTAGTAGACCCCGTTGCGCAATTTGTATATAGGCAGCCTAGAGACGGTCTCAAGACACGATCTATAGATGGTCTACAGACACCCTTCTTCGTCTTGTCTAGCGTACATATGATAATGTGAATTTTTTGGTCTCACGTTCGTTTTCACAATCAAAGACATTGTTTTGTGTGGAATGGACTGGGGTATGTCTCGGGGTCCCTCAGACTGTTTTACTTATTTTTTGTCGGTTAACAGAGCAATGAAGTTTTTTATGTTTGAATCTTTAATATTATTACACTAGTTAATTATAAATGCCACGTTTTCATATAATAAAATATTGGCTTTCTGAGGATTTCTGAGCATTTTCCATGCTTTTTTTTCAAGCTGGCTTTGACTAGATAGAACACAATGGATTTAAGAAGCAATAATAGGATAAATTCTAGAAGTTCCACTGGGATTAAAAAATTACCAGCCCCAAATATCGTTTGCGCACCACTACCCCCTCCCAGACGAAATCCTGAATCCGCCCTTGACCAAGACTGCGTAAAATAAATGTGTAGACTTCGACTCGCCTGTCACTTAGATGGTAGTAGTCACTGGGATCCCTTTTCTACTTCAAATTCCTCACTAGGAAGTTTCATATTCTTTTATAGCCATATTCCAATTCAGCGTTGTTGAACTTTTTTCATTTTTTTACCCGTTCGAAGATTCCATCCACCTTAAATGTCCTTAGCAAATACTGAACGTCGCCATTGAAAAATTCTATCCCATTGCAGTTATTATAAAAATATCAAAACGCATAACATATAATAATCATTTGATGTTTCTCAATACCGAGTTCATCAGTTAGGAAAAAAGTATCAATGTAATTTTGACAGAATCACCCGCAGAAGAACAAAGTATGCTTTCTAAGAAACGGGGTTTCAGACGACAGTGAAAGTTAGAAATACAACCAAGATAAAATAATATATTTAATGCAAAAGTAACTGAACTGCTGATACATAAATAGCATTCTATAAGTCATTGAGAGCGTAGCTAAAATAATCAAGAGATATGCTTCAACATCAAAGTAAACAACGAAGGAACTGAAACTTCTGAAATACATAAACTAATTAAGAAAAAAAAATTATAAGGCAAGTAGCTTATTTGATCTTCGAGACATGACCGCAGGAGACAAGCAGAAATACGAATATTTAATTATTTATATATTTATTTATAAATATCTAATATGGCAGAGTTTGTCTACTCGGCACAATTTCCTAACACTGGTAAAGAACATGCTAAGGCTAAATTCAGTTTTTTTTGCACCGTTTTCAAAACCGAAAGCTCTCATTTCTATCATTCTATGGCTTGAAGACGACGCATCTTGGTTTTTGAAACTAATTTGCGATTACTATGATATGACAAATTCTAAAGCGCACGATACAATAACACCCTTTGTATATAAATTCGGACTTGTTACATGCCTGTATGATTTTATATTCATTCACTTTTATTCATGTTATGTCTTTAAGGTGGAGAACCTGGACATGCGGATAGGCATTCACTCTGGATCAGTACTTTGCGGTGTTCTGGGTCTAAGAAAATGGCAATTTGACATTTGGTCTTCTGATGTAAGATTGGCTAACCATATGGAATCTGGAGGAAAGCCTGGGTAAGAAGCGCTACAAGAATTATCAAACATGCATTATGAACTATATTATGTTGTTTTCTAGGCAAGTGCATATATCTGAATCCACGTATCAATCTTTGAATGGCGCTTATGAAGTAGAACCAGGCAATGGGCAGGAAAGAGATGCCTACCTCAAAGAACATAGGGTTGTGACGTATCTGATCAAGCAAGTTGAACCTATGAGAAGCAGGAGAAGACTAGCTTCTAGACCAAGGTATTAGATAAAAATCTGCAGTCTCGTGTGCTTATAATGGGTGATTTTTTTGCTAGTATCTTTTTGGCAACACTGTTTTTGACAGATGACGCGTGAATCGTGTCTTGTGTCATTATCAAACTTGTTCAGTTTGGTCTATAATTTAACCATGAATCGACTTACGAACGAACAACGCTTGCAAATTATTGAATTTTACTATCAAAATTCATTCTCGGTTAAGAGAGTGCATCGAGCACTGCTTCCAATTTATGGGCAATTTGGTCGGCCTACTGAGGGAGCTATTCGGAAGCTTGTGACTAAATTTCGAACCCAGTTTACATTATTGGACACTAAACCACCAACACGCAGACGTAGAGTGAGGACTGAAGAAAATATTGCGGCTGTATCCGCCAGTGTTAGTGATGACCGTGAAATGTCGATTCGCCGCCCTTCGCAGCAATTGGGCCTCTGTTACTCCACTACGTGGAAAATTTTGCGACAGGATTTGGGTGTAAAACCTTATAAGATACAGCTGGTGCAAGAGTTGAAGCCACACGACCTCCCACAACGTTTCCCATTTGGTGAATGGCCGCTGGCAAAGTTGGAGGAAGATCCACATTTTTATCGAAAAATTGTGTTCAGCGACGAAGCTCATTTCTGGTTGAATGGGTACGTTAACAAGCAAAATTGCCGCATCTGGAGTGAAGACCAGCCAGAAGCATTGCAAGAGCTACCAATGCATCCCGAAAAAATCACTGTTTGGTGTGGATTATGGGCCGGTGGCATCATCGGGCCGTACTTCTTCAAAGACGACAATGGCCGGAACGTAACTGTGAATGGCGAGCGCTACCGTGCGATGATAACAAACCTTTTTTTGCCCAAAATGGAAGAGCTGGACTTGGATGACATGTGGTTTCAACAAGACGGTGCCACATGCCACACCGCACACCAAACAATGGCCCTATTGAGAGGCGAGTTCGGTGAACAGTTTATCTCAAGTTTGGAGCCCGTCAATTGGCTGCCTAGATCGTGTGATTTAACGCCGTTGGACTATTTCTTGTGGAGCCATGTTAATGCTAATGTCTACAGGGATAAACCAGCAACGATTGACGCACTGGAAGCTAATATTGAAGCATTTATTCGTGAGATACCGGCCGATATGTTGGAGAGAATGTGCCAAAATTGGACCTTGCGCATGGACCATCTAAAGCGGAGCCTCGGCCAACATTTACATGAAATAATCTTTAAACATTAAATTATATCGACCGTTCTATCGACTCAAATAAAGATTAAATCGTTTTTTCAATTTTTTTTTAAAAATCAAATCCTATACCTCTTAAAAAATCACCCGTTACATTTTGTTCCAAGAACGAGTGTCACCAGGTCACTATTTCTAAAATCACATATCAAATAACAAGGAAGCTGTGATTTGACTTTGAGCTCTATGTTTGTGTCCTTCATTTTTGTTAACATATTCATTGATATAACAGTATCAGCGAGTTAGAAGCATTTAACTGAAAACAAATTATACAATACAAATTGCTTGAACGAATACTATCGTGTCTATTTTTCAGTATATTTTCAAACAAACTTTGGCCAGATGATGATCTAAAAAGCGGGAATACAACTCCTAAAAGTCCTTCCACCCCTGTTTCCATCCCAATGCAATCTCCAGAAGAGAGAAGTGATAGTGGGATACAACAAAGTGGAATAGATGATGAGAATACAACAGATTGGACGCCTGAAATACCTTTTGAAAATGTAAGAAACTTTGACCAGATATTACAACTGTATTATACGCAAGATATTGATTCAAGGCTTTCAAAAAACTCATTATAAGCCGATTACTCGTAAAATAAAAATGACAAACAAAAACTCTAGTATACTGCCGTAGATGTTTGGTAACATCCTTGAATATGCAGGTTTTTTCTATGTCGGAAAAGTTTGCATAAAACCCAACATTTTTTGCCACGGAAAGAATACATCTCACTCATTATCATGTTGACACAAACCTAGCATCAATTGAAATTGAAATCTATAATTTCTGTGACATAAGATACAACAACAATATTTACACATTTTCTAGAATTTCAAACAACAAAAAATGTTTTAGTTGCATCGTACACTGTCAAATGAGCTGGAAGAAGAAACTGAAACTGTCTCATATAAACAAAAATATGATACCGTCGAGAAGTACAAAAAGAGAAACTCCACTTTCATCCCAACTGTAGAACAGGTGGATGATATCATAGATCATAGCATTGAAATTGAAAGCAATAAAAGAATGAGAAATGCTAACGTTAATCCGTGGACTCTTAGGTTCAAAGATAAGGACATGGAACTTAAGGTAACCTAAACATTCGATTTTTACGTAGTCATACCACCAAAAAGGTATCCCGTAGCTATACAGGGTGTTAGGCAAGTAATATTCGTAACTTTAAGAGGTGATTCCTTGCGTTATTCTAAGCAAAAAAGTTCATTATAACCTATGTCCGAATATCAACCGTTTCGGATCAAAAAAATACTTATTTATTTTTAGTCATGAAATAATTTAATTTTGCTCCTTAATAATTTAAATTCGAATGCCTATTAGCGAAAAATGTGTCATCAATACATCTATTTATTAATTAGCTGTCTCTAGCAGAATAATTTTCTTGCTTATTAAATACAATTTTCCGAAGAAAAACAGACAAACAAAATCCCTCACACAACTGGCAACGTCGTACTCTACCTGCACTGCATGTATCATTGCGTGTTGCTGTGATTATCTAATACATTTAACTGTATTTTTTGTGATTTACGGATGCTGGTTTTTGTGCATCACATCGTTTCAAATAAGTTACTGATAATCGTGGAAATTGGTGTTGTGTATCGCCACGTACTGGTAAGTTCTGTCATTTTTTTTAAATAAATGTTATTGTATTAAAAAAAATATTAGCCACAAAAAATTGCGTAAAATATACAAACGTAAACAATTCGATGAATCAGTTACGGTCGTCGTGTGCTCGTATCGCGGTTGCGTTGCAGCGTTGCCAAATGTTTAAGAAAATTTCATTATTTACGACTCACTTTTCTCGAAAACGATTGATTTTCAGACATAAGTTGTCATGAACTTTTTTGCTCAGAATAATGCAAGGAATCACCTCTTAAAGTTACGAATAATATTTCCCTAACACCCTGAATACACGGTCAGTTCTTAGTGTGTAATGGTCAATAGATCTGTGATTTTAAAATATTTTTAGAAAGGTTATTTGTAAACAACTATAAATTTTCACAAAATATGTCGCTCTCTATATGGTGATTCGTAACAACGTGGCAACATAAACACACATGTTTTTATGCAACAGCCTGTTCATTTAAATGTTTTCTACTACTACTTCAGAAGTTTGATATTTTATGATGTTTAATGAAATTTAACAGCTTGAACATCAATCAATGATACAAATAGAGTAAGTGAGTTGCGTAACTCATATTTTCTCGTCATTTGAACTTTTTCAACGAAAAAAAAGTCACCATTCTGTCTGCAGACGTGACTGAATTACAAGCTGTCAAATTTGTTTGTTTTTACTTTCCACGCCTACTGGCGAGAAAATATTTCAATGGAAAAATTTTTTGAACATGTCATATAATGTTTTTTTTGATGTTATATGACATGTACATCACGAAAAACCATGTCACTCATTTCTGTCGGTCTGTCTGTCGGTCTGCCAGCTGATCTTATAATCGCCTATAACTTGAAAATTACCGCTTGGATTTCGATGGAATTTTTATACAATGTTACTAGTATGTCAAGAACGCAAAAGCTTTGTAGATTTTGAAAATCGCTTCACTGTCAGCAGAGAAGAGTGCCTAAGACGGAAAAAGCAAAAATCGCTCAAACATGGTTTGTTGACATTGCAGAGAATCCTGATAAATTTAGAAAAAAATTTTAAAGGTAAAAAATATTGACGTTGGGAGTTGTGGGGGGGTGGAAAGGTTAATATTTTAAAATTATTGACCGATTACATGCAAAGAACTCACGCTGCATGAGTATACCTACCTTTCAATGCAATTATTGTTTCAGTTTAGTCAATTGAGGGAAGATATGTTCAAATCCAACATGATGTGCTGCTTCGTTATTTGGTTGTTCATAGTGATTTGTCAAGCAATTATAGTAAACTTGGCGTAAGTATCAATCAAACCTACATTATACTGATGATTGTCTGAAGGACTATTTCGTCGGCGACTATTTCTGATGCGTGAGTTGTCTCTTTGTTGGAATAAAATATATTTGATATGCAGAATTCATATATCCCAGTATTCTTCGTAAAATACAATGTTCGAATTTATCCTCTCCACAAGACTTCGCAGAATTCTCCGTGAGTGATGGAAATCCGAGAGGGTTTTGCGCCGGCTAATGCTTCCAGAATCACCAACTGAAAGGCCCTTTTATATTGGGATTCTCGAATTGCATTTATGTTACTCCAAGCTGAAAGGGCTCCCACACGCAACCTATACAGGATGATCCGTACTTAAATGGACATAGTCAAGTGGTAGGTAGTATGCACCGAGACCTTACCATATCTAAAAACAAAATGTTCTAAAGTGAGTTTTTACTGTGATTTATCTAAACATCCCAAATCTTTAATAGCACATGTTTCAAACAATATTGAACCGATTTTTCTGAAATTTAGCAATAAAGTTACCTGGGAGTAACGTGAGAAAAGAATCACGGTTAAAAATCCAGGGCCAGACTCTGCCTTTTTCAACTTTTTGGTCTTTTGTCGAAATTAACACATTTTAAGCACAAGATTGAAACGTTTGACTATGTACAAAAAAGTCAGAGGATGGAGATAATTAATTGGAAAAATGAATTAATGCTTAAAATTGAACTAAAGTTATTTTGGGAAATCAAAATGCCATAGTCGGATTCAGTTTTTTTATTCCCTTGTATTTTATTGAATGCTCTGTAAGTTATACTCTAAATTTATTTTATTATTATTATATATATATATATATACAGGGTGACTTTGAAGTTGAGTCATTAATTTTCAGATAATGATTGTAGAAGGAAGTTAAACCAAAATATGTGTGTAAAAATAAAAAAAAAAATTAAAAAAACGTTTACCTTATTTTATAAAATATCCTCCCAACAAGTATTTCAGTGCGGACCTGTATTTGATCGTGAGGTCTTGGAGCACCGGCATGCCCTCTCCTATGAGGTCTTAAGTCACCTGATTCACGAGCCCGTTGTACTACATTAACAAAGGCACGAGGGGTTGGTTGCACTCGATTGGGAAACCGATCCGCATAAACATGTGCCATTTTTTATTTCATTTGAGCCACGCAGCAAACACCACTATTCACTCACGCCTTACCGAATAAAAACATCGTGATCAGCGTTTCAAATTCTTTAGCTTTTTTGTTTCCGATGGGATGAACCGATAAGGCGGATTATATCCGTTGTTGCCAAACACGAGCACATAATATTATTATTGAGACAGGGCGGTACTCAAACTTCTAAAGGGCTATAACTATGTTACTTTAATTTTACCACAAAAATGTTAAAGGAAAAAACATTTCTTTTGATCAGATCTACTCACTGTTAAAATAAATGACTCAACTTCGAAGTCACCCTGTATATATATATATATATATAATGTTACGCGCCCTATTAATTTTTTTCAATAATTATACCAACTGTTCTTATACAATAACACGAGTCCGACTCCAAAAGAAAACGGCATTTAGTATCCATGCACTAAATATAACTCTCCAGACTAATTCAAGATTATGATGAAAATGTACAAAAACTTAATATACAGGTCCGGACTCAGCATTTTCTGCAAATGTTAACATGTTCTCACCAGAACCCTACGTTAGATCTAGTTAGGTACATAATGTACCGGTTGTACATCATAAAATTATTAATCCATTTTTGTGAATTTTTAGCTTAATTCCAAGTTGGTCTGGAAGATCCAATTTGGTGGAGTTACATATCAGGTGCCGTTTCTTTTTTAAGCAGTACTCATGTTGAACAATATCAGTTGGTAGAGTCAAATCATTAAAAAAAATTACTGAAAAAAGTAAACAGGGTAACATTAATTTTCCCCTTTATTTATATGAGTATCATCTACTGCTCATTATGTCTGCAAAATAATTAAAATTCAGTGTATAACTTGCAGGGCGTTGGACTCAATGAAATACGTTATTTCAAAAATATCGAAAAAGATTAATTACTTCTATAGAGTTTCGCATAATCTTAGTATATATTCCAAAAAAATTGTGTATAGCACTACAATTCTTCCCCATTTTTTATATTGTTCAACCATCTTGTTTACAGCAAATGAAAACATATTTTAAAAATTACAAATTCTACAAAATAAAGCTATGAGAATCATTTTAAATAAAAACAAATATGCTAGGATTAAGTCTATGTTAGAAGAACTGCAGTGGTTGGATGTGAAAAATTTCATATATTATTTAGTTCTCGTTTTCATATTCAAATTAAAAAATCATTTATTACCACCACATTTAGAGAACTTCACAAAAATAAATAGCTACGAAACTAGAGGCAGTATAGATTTTGATCGGCAAGAATTTAATAGTAGTATAACTAGTAAATCTACAGGGTGACTTCGAAGTTGAGTCATTTATTTTAACAGCGAGTAGATCTGATCAAAAGAAATGTTTTTTTCCTTTAACATTTTTCTGGTAAAATTAAAGTAACAAAGTTATAGCCCTTTAGAAGTTTGAGTACCGCCCTGTCTCAATAATAATATTATGTGCTCGTGTTTGGCGACAACGGATATACTCCGCCTTATCGGTTCATCGCATCAGAAACAAAAAGCGAAATAATTTGAAACGCTGATCACGATGTTTTTATTCAGTCAATGTGTCAGTCGGTAACACGTGAGTGAATAGTGGTGTTTGCTGCGTGGCTCAAACGAAATAAAAAATGGCACATATTTATGCGGATCGGTTTCCCAATTGAGTGCAACCAACGAGGGGTTGGTTGCCTTTGTTAATGTAGTACAACGGGCTCGTGAATCAGGTGACTTAAGACCTCACAGGGGACTGCATGCCGGTGCTCCAAGCCCTCAGGATCAAATACAGATCCGCACTGAAATACTTGTTGGGAGGATACTTTATAAAACAAGGTAAAATTTTTTTTTGATTTTTTTTTATTTTTACACACATATTTTGGTTTATCTTCCTTCTACAATCATTATCTGAAAATTAATGACTCAACTTCAAAGTCACCCTGTATATTTCACAAGGGAGTATTTGAGTTTAATAAATTGAATACTGATATTAAACAGAGTTCGAATTTAGAAATGTTCAAGGTGAAATCAAAAAATCACTCTATGAATAATCAAAATACATAGTGACGTAATTTTAATTTTAATTTTTAAAGACAAGAATGTAAAATTACAGAAAATGGATTGAAGAAAAATATGTAACCGAATCATTATACAAAATTGACATTGTAGCATTAATGCTAAATAAATCTTCAACAACAACCAAGAAATAAAAAAATGAATCCGACCTTGGAATTTTAAGTTCTCAAAACATGTTCAGTTCAGTTTTCATTTTTAGGTGTTATTAAAAATGTTGATGACACCAAGTTGATAATCCTTGAAGTGCAGAGTTTTGTGCTAAAAATAAGATATTTAGGCTGAAATATTTACCTAAAAAACTAAATAAATTAATTAGCACCATTCAGTGACTTCATTTAGGTGTTTATTTGCATAAAAAAGAAAAATAATAGGTACGACCCTGGCTTTTTCAATCATCCGTCTAATTTTACGATACTCCTGACACTTTGTTATAATGCAAAGTTTCAACAATGTCTGTTCAATAGTTTCTGAGTTATGGGATATTAAATATTTTTCATGTTTAGATATATCCGTAAGAACTGCATTCAGAACTTTTTTATTTTCAGATAAGAAAAGGTGTCGGTCCATACTACCTATTATTTCACTGTCACTGTCCATTCAGCATTATTTAATATCCATAGTCGAAATCCGCGTCGCATCTGCGGCATACGAGTACGAGGATAAGGTGAAAAGTTCTTGGCCTGATACCAAAATATCGTACTCTTCCCAAATTTGAAAAAATGTCTTTCTAAAAAGCGCTTCGGGGTCGATGAAGAAGTTAGGGGGGTCGTAGAAGAATATTTTGACTCCAACTAAGAAGCTATCCTAATATTACAGGAACGTTAGATCGAGTGCGTTGGAGTCGAAAGTGATTATGCAGAAAAGTTAAATCATGTTTAATTGTAAAACGCAGCATTTCTTATTCGAACCGAGAACTGTTGAACTCACACTCGTAAGGAGTCTGTAAATTAAGTAACGAGACTGACTCTTTTTTAATTTTTATCAATGAAATATAATCACTATTTTCCCTCAAAATAACTTCCTTCTGAAACGACCCACCGCTGGAGAATGTTCTTTCAATCCACATAGTAGTGCTGGACCCCATACTGGAATAGCCTTCAGCTGGCCCAAAATGAATTCCCTTCAGATGACTTTCAATTTCGGGAGGAGAAAAGTCACAAAGGCTCAAGTCAGGCGGAGCCACAGGAATGTGCATAAAAAACTCATTTATTGTCATTGCTGTGTGACAAGTGGCATTATCGTGATGCGACATCCAATTGTTCTTGATCTCATAAATGGCGGTGTTAGGTAAATTTAACTGAGCCCATTTTGAGTATCAAGCGACGATGTGAATGCACAAGATCCCGGATTCTGTCGATATCTTCATCGGTTCTTGAATATGGCCTTCCGCTTGGTGATTCATTTACAATCGAATATGTCCCTTCGGAAAATGTCTTAAACCACTGAAAAACCTTGGCTATTGACAAAACGCTATCTTTGTAGGCCTGAAGTTTAGCAAGAGTTTCCGTTGCACTGTGCCCAAATTCATTTCTAGACAAAACTGTTTCGCAAAAAAAATTGCTACGGACGAGCAAATGAATCGAGATAATTCAAACTTGTATACGACTGATGTCTTTTAAGTTATGCATATTGAAACATAGTAGGCCGCGCGGTTCGAACGTCAGTACTGAATCTTAACCTCACTCTTTAGTAAACTTAAATTCAAAATTTCACAACAATACGTGCAGTGTTCTCACTACAGTGAATTTTTAAGTGTCACCAAGTCATTAGAAAATGGAACGCAACCGAGAACATTTTCGCGCTATAATTTATTACAACTTTCAGAGACAATTATCGCAACAAGAATGTCTTGCTGAGTTACTGTCTGTTTTCGGCAACGAAGCGCCAATCAGTCGACAATTTCTCGTTGGTATGGAGAATTCAAAAACTTTTATATGAAGAATTAGGAGTAAGAAAATTAGTTTCTCGTTGGATACCCCACCGGTTGACTTACGAGCAGAAAGCAGCCAGGGTTAATCGGTGTCAAAAAACGCTTGACCGTTTCAATTCCGGAAACTCAAAAAATATGTACAGCATTGTTAGTGGTGAAGAATCGTGGATTTACTGTTATGAACCAGAAAATAAACGACAGTCGGATGTTTGGGTGTTCCAAAGTGAAGAAAAGCCAACAAAAGTCATCCGTTCTCGAAGTGTTTCGAAAAAGATGGTCGCGACATTTGTGTCTAAAGCGGGTCATATTGCAACAATTCCTCTTAATAAGCAAAGAACTGTTACTGCGGATTGGTATACCACCATTTGTTTACCAAAAGTCATCACCAAGCTTCGAAAAATCAACCCCGAAAGAAGAATCATCCTCCACCAAGACAATGCAAGCTCGCACACTACCCAAAAAACAAGGCAGTATTTAACGGAAGAAAACGTGGAGTTATTGGACCATCCTCCATATAGTCCCGATCTAAGTCCTAACGATTTCTTTACTTTCCCGAAAATTAAAAACAGACTGTGTGGTCAAAGGTTCCAGTCACCAGAAGAAGCAGTTGACGCATTCAAAAATGCCGTTTTGGATCTGTCAGCAAACGAGTGGAATAAGTGCTTCGAAAATTGGTTCGAGTGCATGCAGATGTGTATTAATCTTCGTGGAGGATACTTCCAAAAACAAAGTCATTTAAAACTACCTACCGTGTTGTTTTATTTTCATATGCAAAACTTAAAAGACATCCCTCGTACTTGTACTTGAGGTGGATCCCATATTTTCCTGTCACAAGCACGCTATCGAGGTGTAACTAGCACTAACGCTAATATTTCTTCTTTATCTCATTTTTCTCCAGTTATAAATCAAAACAATTTTAGTACTCCTTGAGCTGCTATCTACCGGTAGACCGCATTTTTTGGGATACCCTTTATAATGTACTATGTTCTTGCAGGCAATATTTTGTTGTGATATGTATCATACTAACCACCCTAATACTAACATCCATATCGGTACTAGTGATGGCCGAAGAATTTGAGCAACTTCCAGTGTCGTTGCAAAAAATATCCTCGACTTTCATGCACAACAGAAGAAGAAGGACACTTCTGATATGCGGAGTGATAATTCTGATGTCAATAATGAGCTCAATAACCCTTATCAATATTAGTGAAAATCCGAATTTAAATATCACAGAATATAACAGCAATCCTTTAGTTGGAGCAAGGGTTTTGAACGTGAACGTCCAAGCAACTGTTCACAACAACTTCACGATTAACGTTGAGAATAAGCCGAATTGTACCGATAACTGTCTCAAAAAGCTAATAGGAAACATAGATATAGATGGAATACTTAAAGATGCTGAAAATATCACGAAATTGGCGAATAAGACGAACACAGTTTTGCAAAGCCTCAATTTGAAGCTGTCCAATCTGTCTAGGAGTTTGAGGTTCAATAGGAGGAGGTACGTAAAATTATGCTATTTTTTAAAACATAGACCCGAAAAAATAATTAAAATAAGCTGCTCAACTTGATCAGCGGACGATTTTCTTTGATCACTTAGTTTAACACTACCACTAGTCTAATTCAATTACATTTTAAAGCAAATTCAGTCTCATTTTTCCTCATCGCGTGCAAATGAAGTGTGCTTGCGCTAAGTTACTTGAGTGAGGAGATATTCCGAAACAAAGGTTGCAAAGTACTTCACGTCAAAATTTTTATTCCTTTCAAATATATTGTATTCTAAGATTGTCCTGAATTATCAATTTCATTTTTGAATATTTTCTTATAATGGAAAAAAGATGGCGAAACGTTTCTGTTAAATAAATTTTCTTTTCCAGGAGAAAAAGGAGCTTGGTGGTACACAACATAACCTCGATCGAACCAGACTCCGAGTCTGAGACCAACGATACATTCAGTGGGTCCATCAACATGCTCAGACCAAACTGTAAACACCCAGAGTACATTGTCTTCACGTGGGTTTTATGTATGGTAGCTTTAGCCACGGCTCTGAAACTGTACTACCTCATCAAGCTCTTTTTGGCCATACTGATGGTTGTAATATATACGTCGCTGATTCTTAGGCCTACAGATAATATCTTCAGGTTCTTCACCAGCAACCCAAAAGCGGAGTAAGTACCACAGTAAATGTTCAGTTATTTTTACTCTCCACGTCAATTATTGAAATCGCATAAGATTTCGAAAATGAGAATAAGGCCCGTATCGTCAGTCGTCCCTACAATTGTAGGGTGCGTTTATGGCCTCCTTGATTGTCATACTCTTTTCGCTCCTTCAAAAATTTCTAGATTGCACTCGTCCCGTGTCAGCGTCAGCGCTCTCCTATTGTGATTATATTTTCTTTTTAAATTGTAGGAAATTTCAGGCTGATAAAACATGATATAACTCAAAAGTAAGCACAATTTGATGCAAATAGATGTTTGTGACATAACCTCAAAATAGAGCGCTGACACGGAGAAGTAGAAAACTATGACAATCAAGGAGGCCATAAAGGCGCCCTACAATTGTAGGGACGACTGACGATATGGACCTAAGTATCGTACAGATTTCCACTCCAGTTTTTCCACTCTTCAGGGACTCCTGCTCATTTCAGAAATATCTTGAACTGTTAAAGATTGGGGGTTGTTGGGGCTAGTTTTTGACAGCTTATACTACAATAGATTTAATAATAATCTATACAGGGTATCCGCAAAGTTGGGGTTTTCCTTTACACGACGTGTAGATCTTGAAAACATAAGCAATTTTTCTTAGTACCATATACACCAATGTCTTAAGGGAACCGAGATAAAGGGCTCTGCAACATCCCCGAGTGGTACTAGGACACTAGCTCAACCCGACGACAGAACTGGGTCGGGGTCAGTGTGTCAGGTCAGTATGCAACCTTCAACTGACGGTTACGGTCACGCGTGTAGAGGTAAACGAACCCGTATAATCGTTTGCGTTTCAAAAAACAACAAGCACTAGAGACGTGGCTAGAGAAGTGCAAGTATCAAAAACTAAAGTGTGGCAAACGCTGCATGAAGAGGGGCTGTATCCGTTTCACGTCCAACGTGTACAAGCACTTCAACCCGACGATTTTCCAGCAAGAGTGCGGTTTTGTGAGTGGTTGTTGCATCAACATGACAATAATCCGGACTTTTTGAAGTGCATATTGGTGACAGCCGAATCTACGTTCACGCGTAATGGGGTGAATAACTTTCGCAACACTCATGTTTGGTCAGTAAAAAATCCGCACGCTGTCTGTCGGGCACATTTTCAACAAAATTTTCGGTGAATGTTTGGGCTGGCATGGTGAACGGTATGCTCATTGGACCATTTATTCTCCCAAATCGATTGGACAGGATGCAATACCTAGACTTTTTACGCAACATTTTGCCTTCCTTGTTAGAAGATGTGCCATTAAGTGTAACACAATCAATGTGGTTTCTGCACGATGGTGCTCCGCCCCATTTTAGACGCGAAGTGCGTGAGTTTTTGAATGAATTATTTAAGAATAGGTTGATCGGACGTAATTAACCCGTAGCGTGGCGTCCGCGATCTCCAGACTTAACACCATGTGATTTTTTTCTTTGGGGAGAAATGAAACGCTTAGTGTACAAAACTGAAGTGCATACGGTTGACGAACTTCGTCTCAGAATTGAACAAGCTGATGCTTTCATTCGGGGGAGGGACACCATTCTCAAAGCCTGCACCGATGCTTGGCTACGTCGTGCACGCACCTGTGTTTTTGAATCAAACGGCGATAACTTCGAACAATACCTATAAAGTACGTTTACCTATAAACTGAAAACGCGGCAACGCCGTCATATTTGTTACCTCTGTTCGTGGTCTGCACCACCGCCGGCGTCTGCTCGGTAGGGCATCAGCTGATTTCATTTTCTGTTGGAGCGGTATGATTTCGGGCAGAGACGTACTTAGCCCTTCTCGTCAACTGGAGAGTGAGTACTTTTTCCTTTATTTTTTTTTACTTGGTCGCCCTCGTTTCACTACACATTACCTTTATTATTTCAAGGGTAGTTGTTTCTGAAAAGGAAAACCCCAACTTTGCGGACACCCTGTATACAGGGTGTCCCGAAAAAAGTGTGCAATATTCTACCAGCGGTTTCTAGAGCTTAAAATAGGAAGAAAAGTTTATATAAACATAGGTCGACAAACGTCCCCTAAGGGCGCTACGGTCTTTTAAAGGGGCTCCCCTGAAGATGGTTTTTCCTTAATGTTTCCGAAACGTGTTGAGATAAAGACATAAAATTTGGTATTCTAGCATAGTTTTTTATGCTAGATTTAAAAATATTAACAATTTTAGACAGTTTTGTTTGGAAGCGTATGTAACAGGGACGGACTCAGGTTATTTTAGCCCCAAAATTTTTGTGTGATTCTATTTTTGAAATTAGATTTTAGAATTTGAAAATTTAGGGTTTTTTATATAAAAAAGGTACTCTTATTGAATATCGATAAATTGCGCCATTTTTGAATAAAATCAAACTAAAAAATTTGTCACATCATAGGAAATTTAAATGAAATGTTGAATAATTAGCCATGGTAACGAAAAAACTAATTTAATAATTGGTAAATATTACATAAATACATATTTCTATTGCAACATAGCTAACATTTAGACAAAACAAAAGAAATAAATTTTTTCTACGAACGAAATTGAAATTTGATTAAAAAAGAAGACATACAGTTGGATATACTTAAAACTAGCTTTACAATAAGTGTTCAAATAAATTCCCATTTTGTTGGATACAAAGTAACGCTCGACGAACTAATGTTTGCGTAGCCCGAAAAGTGGAAAACCTTTTTCTTCTTATTTCATTTGCAGCCTGATGGATTCTTTGAAGTAAATCTTCTTGAGTATTTACTTCAGTCGAAAACTAGGTCTTTTAATGACCCCCAAAAATATAAATCCAATGGATTTAGATCAGGTGAACGTGGCAGCCACGCTATAGGACCTCCTCGGCCTAACCACCTGCCTGGAAAAGTGACATTCAACCAATTTCGAACATTGTGTTCAAAATGTGCAGGGGCGCCATCATGTTGAAAAAACATATTTTGTTGAAGCTGCTGGTGCACATCCAATAGTATTATATCCATGAGTTTATTCTGAAGAAAGTTCAGATACACCTCTGAATTAAGACGATTGGGAAGTACAATAGGCCCAATTACTTGATTCCCAATTACTCCTACCCATAAGTTCAATGAAAATCTATGTTGGAAATTTGTACGAAGAACAATTTTTGGATTTTCATCTGACCAGTGATGCAAGTTATGGAAATTAAAAGCACCATTCCTAGTAAATATTGACTCATCCGACCATAATATTCTAGGAATAATGTTTTCATTTACTAATATCCACTGGCAAAACTCGATTCGTGGTAAAAAATCTGCCTCCGTTAAATGCTGCACCCGTTTAAAATGATAAGGATGTAATCCTTGCATTCTTGTCATTCTTCCTATCTAATAGTATTATTTTTAGGATAACTATCAAATAGGTATTCATAAATTTTTCTTACTATTGATCGAGGTATATTCATAATTTCTGAAACATTTCGTATGCTTATTTGCTGATCATTTTCAAACGTATTTAAAGCAATATCCATACGATGATTTCCCAGTGGCCTTCATGAGCAATGCATGCGCTGAAAACTTCCATGGTTTGACAAATTCCGGTGAATATCAGTAAACATTCGACGTCCAGGTACTATGTGATTGGGAAATCTTCTTTGATATTCTCTTACGGCTGCCAATGAACTGCCATTGCAAAACCCGTACACAAAATGCATGTCACTCAGTTCTGTCTGTAAATCTTGGCATTTTAAACCGATTTAATAAAAATGTTGATTTTAATCTAGTAATTTTACACTACTAACAATGTCAGCTCAACGTCAAAATAAGTCATAACAAATCAAAACAACTTTTGTGTGCAGTCATGGCTAACTATGTATAATCAACAATTCATTTAAATTCGCAGTACATTTCCTATCATGTGACAAATTTTTTAGTATGATTTTATTCAAAAATGGCTCAATTTATCGATATTCAATATGAGTACTTTTTTATGTAGAAAACTCTAAACTTTCAAATTCTAAGATTGAATTTCAAAAATGGAATCACACAAAAATTTTGGGGCTAAAATAACCTGAGTCCGCCCCTGTTACATACGCTTCCAAACAAAACTGTGTAAAATTGTTAATATTTTTAAAATGCAGCATAAAAAACTAGGCTACAATACCAAATTTTATGTCTTTATCTCAACACGTTTCGTAAATATTAAGGAAAAACCATCTTCAAGGGAGCCCCTTTAAAAGACCGTAGCGCCCTTAGGGGACGTTTGTCGACCTATGTTTATATAAACTTTTCTTCCTATTTAAGCTCTAGAAACCGCTGGTAGAATATTATACACTTTTTTCTGGACACCCTGTATACAGGGTGACTTCGAAGTTGAGTCATTTATTTTAACAGTGAGTAGATCTGATCAAAAGAAATGTTTTTTTCCTTTACCATTTTTCTGGTAAAATTAAAGTAACAAAGTTATAGCCCTTTGGAAGTTTGAGTACCGCCCTGTCTCAATAATAATATCATGTACTCGTGTTTGGCAACAACGGATATAATCCACCTTATCGGTTCATCGCATCGGAAACAAAAAAGCGAAAGAATTTGGAACGATGTTTTTATTTCATTCAGTTCAGTTATACATACAGTCAGTGTCAGTCGCGTGTGAATAGTGTCTGTTGCGTGGCTCAAACGAAATAAAAAATGGCACATGTTCATGCGGATCGGTTTGCCAATCGAGTGCAACCAACCCCTCGTGCCTTTGTTAATGTAGTACAACGGGCTCGTGAATCAGGTGACTTAAGACCTCACAGGGCACCTCACGATCAAATACAGGTCCGCAAAAACAAGGTAAAAATTTTTTTTATTTTTTTTTATTTTTACACACATATTTTGGTTTATCTTCCTTCTACAATCATTATCTGAAAATTAATGACTCAACTTCAAAGTCCTTATATGTGTAAATGAATCCCTATTTCCCGTGGTCACGCTTTAACTTGAGAACGACATTATAGATTTCATTCATTTTTGTTTTAAAAGTTTCCTAACACTGTATAGATGGATTGGAAAATCATTGAAAACCTAATGATTATTTGAGCTACGCGCGTTTGACAGTTCGCTTGAGCATGGAACACGCACTGGAGAAGAAATATATAAAGTACCAAAAGAGACAAGCACTCCTCTCCGTCATCTTCATTCCAACGGCTATTGACAATTATGTGAGAAAAAATTGATAACGAAAACACGGTGCTTTCGTTTTTGGACTTTCATTTCTTTACCATCCGTACTTTGTGATGGCCCCTTCAAAAGAAACTGAAGTGTTTTGCTTAATTGTTAATCTTTGTCAGTTAAGTCTATGAATTAAAGTGGCGGATGAAAATACGTTTCTTTTGCTTAACTGACTTTCACTACAATATAATTTGGAAGTTGACAGCTCGCACGCAGCAACTTTATATTCTCGTTCAACATTATTATTTATCGATGAAAACTTTTTTTTTATTATTTAATTAGTAGTGCACCGTCCATTCGATTAGAGCTTTTATGCAGTTTTCCGTTTGTTCAGTGACTTTTTTGAGAAGTATTCGTTCAAAAATAATTAACAAGCTTGGTCAAAGATATATACGAAGAAGTAAAACTGACGAGCAACGACAAGCGAGAAATGAAGTTGAACGGGATCGAAGGAAGGAAATTCAACAACGTGTCGCATTTAATTCGAATCCAGCTGCATTCAATTATGACGTGGCAATCGATTACAGTTAACAACAAATTAATGCTATTGGAGCAATGAACGTTGTGTCTCCACATTACAAGGCTTCCAAGTTTAAAAATGAAGCCCCTGGATTATGTTGCGCCAGTGGAAAAGTCAAATTGACTCCATTGGTACCACCACCAGACCCACTACATTCATAGGTTTTCGGAAATGGGCCAGAACCTATACATTTTTTGACTCATATCCAGAAATACAATAATTGCTTTCAAATGAGGTTATTTGGCGTAACAAAAGTGATTCGATATAATTTTATGCCAACTTTCAAGGTAAGTTGATGGGGGAATGGCAGTGCTGTCAACGTATTTTCCATATATACTAAGTGACATATAAATCCGAACACCCAGTTTTAATATTATATAATAATTTTAATAAAATTTTGTATAAGTACTTAATGAAGCATAATAAGTAAATGATAAAAATTTCAAAATGATTGCACTGCTTTAATTAAAGCCCTTTGACCTTTAATAATGTGTGGATGCACCCTGATGTGCTACGCATTCTCCAACGCGCCTAGGCATGCTTCTGATCAGGTGGTCAATGTCCTCCTGTGGTATCTCTATCTCATTCCAGGCAACCACCAACTCCTCTCGAAGTGCTTCTAGAGTCTGAGGAGGACGTTGCAAATTAAGCAATCTCCTACCCATCATATCCCACACGTGCTCAATTGGGGATAAGTCGGGAGATCTTGGTGGCCATGGTAACAATGTGACATCATTATGTTGAAAGAAGTCTATTGTGACTCTTGCAACATGTGGTCGGGCATTATCTTGTTGGAAAGTTGGATCTGCCAGGGTGTCAAGATAGGGTAAAAGATGGGGTTGTAGAACTTCGTGGATATAACGCTGCGCGTTCATGTTACCGCTGATGAAGATTAAAGGTGACCTGGAACCATAAGCTATAGCACCCCAAACCATAACTCCAACAGTGTGATGAACATGTCTTTCAACAAAAAACTGTGGATTCCTCCTTTCACCACGTCGCCTTCTAACCCTGGCACGACCATCGTGCATGCCTAAACAAAATCGAGACTCGTCACTAAAGACAATACTGTTCCATTCCTGATCCCAGAGTGACCGTTGTCTGCACCACGCAAGGCGATTACGTCGGTGTTCTAGAGTTAAAGGGAGGACCCAGTGTGGCCGGTATGAAAACAAGCCAAAACTTCTCATCCGTCGGTAAACACTTCGCATGCCAATAGGGCTTCCGTGTTCTGCAAACCATTCATTTGCAATGGACCTGGTAGTGGAGAAACGGTCCCTTAAGGCCAATAATCTTAGGCGGCGATCTTCACGGTCTGTTGTTCTACGGCGGCGTCCAGTGCCCCTTGCTCTTTGCGTACGGCCCTCTCGAAGCCATGCCTGACAACACCTAACCACAGTGTCTACACTTCTTTCACTTTAACTGCAATTGCCCGAAAAGAAAGTCCAGCTTCCCGAAGTCCCACTATACGGCCCCTATCAAACTCACTAAAATGACGAAATCGTACAGGTCTCCGTACTCTAGGCATCGTAACCGATCGTAAAGGATGTCAAGAACCAAAATCCGCCAACGTTGATTCTTTACTGCGGCTGAAATATTCATTTTTAGAGCGTTAGTGAATTAAAAAAAAAGCAGTATAAAAACCGGAATGTCCAACTGATAAGGCTGAAAATTTTTTCACTTGTTATTTACAGTAAGATAAATACATTCGCCAACTTTTATTAAAATAAAACCATTTAAACTGGGTATTCGGATTTATATGTCACTTAGTATATTTACCCTTTCATTATTCATTATTTATCTCAGTTGATAGCTAAGACAGGACTACATCCATCGGGTCACCTAACTCATAATAAAATTGTATCAAAATTGCCGAACCAACCTACTTTAATGCCATTTTCGTTATTTACCGTGTCACAACTACATCAGCTACAGCCAACTCATATATCCAACGTCATGAACCCTCCAGCATCGCACACATCTCATGACAATAACGAATATTCCAGCCATAACTATGTTATGAATGCATGAATCTGAATTTCCTAGCGTTGTTTATAGGCAACACCTGCAACCTGTAACTGGAGTGCAAATATTACAATGCTCGTAACTAAGCCAAACTTCTGCTCGGAAACAAACAATTTGATATTTCCATTTCGCGGAATCAGCTTGGCAGATGCGAAAGCACGCTACTTCGAGTAGTTGGCTAGTTTGTTATTTAGTTCGCTTGCTATGATGAAAATTAAATTGGAACAAAGCAGCTAAAGTTGCTTAATGTTTGGAATACAAGTTCATGATGATGCGTTGCTTATCGTCTCAATAATTAAACCCGAACGGTGGTTTTCGAGATGGGTGCAGTAACAGGGGCGGATCCAGGAGGGTGTCCTGGAATCAGGTAGTTCCGGAAATATCTGAGTTTCAAAAATTTTTTTCAATTTGCGGACGACTTCACTTTTAAATCTTCTAGTCCCTCGCGCTTCGTCGATTTTCAATCGTCGAAAACTCCCCCTTCCTCTCCCAGCACTTCTTTGAGCAGGTAATTACAAAATTCATCGTATGAACCCCCAACAGAAATATTTCTCAGATCCACCCCTGGTGTGGAAGATAGAGACCTACAGTAACGAGAAAACTGTCAAAACTAAAAATCAAGATCTCTTACACAGTCTCTGAAGCAATGTTAGGAACAGTGACGGACTTAGGAATGTGCCTGGGAGGCGCAGATCTTTGTCTCGGACGGGAGGGGGGGGGGTGTCGTCTATTAAACATTGCAAAGCGAGAAAGCGGGGGAGTGCAGGCTTAAGCAGCGCTTCTGAAGCGAGGTGCCCTTGTGACAATTGAGGCTGAGGTATTCAGCACACCAGATTTCAGTGGAGAAGAGAATTATGAAGGAAATTATTCCGACATTATGACCGTTGAAACGTCTGATAAGTTCAATATTAAATCTTAATGAAAATATTAGTTTCTAGCAGTAACTAACATACTGTATACGGGGTTGCTAATATTTAAGGGGGTATTTTTGGCCCCTATTACAAGAAGATAACTTCATATAAACTCTAGGTTTCCGAAAAAAAATCCATTTTGTATTATGAATATTTGTAAATTTCACATTATATATTTTAATGCAATTTGGCATATCTGTATAGTATCAAGAAGCATTTTTTAATGTACTATGTTTTTAATTTCTACCAGTGGCATTCTTAAGCAATTTCACCTGCCTATTTTAACAGGCATTGATGGCACGCCACTGATTCCCCTTGAAGTAATTTTTTTCTTGAAGTCTCAATCATTTCTAAGCAAATCTGATTCGCCGAATTTTTTCAATCAGATGTTTTCGCTTGAAGAAATAAACGCCGTTTCTGTGCATGATAATAACACTATCGTTAACATGACAATATCACAATGCAGAGAAATAGCTTTTTTTAGATGGAAACTGTGTGTCACACTAAAAAAAAATCAAGAGATCTACTCTACTCACAAATGAATACTTTCTATATTGAAAACCGCACTCTATCCCAAAATCTAAGGCGTTTAGGACATACATCCATAGAAAGCTTCCTTCTTAAAATGGACCAAAAAATCACCTCTTCAAATAATGACATTCAATTTTGAAACACCCTGTATAAAAGTGCTTGAAATATGAATCAGCTATTTGTGTATTACGAGAGTATCAGATTATGGCGAAATCAGCGAGGAACACGCGAGCGAGCTTTTTGTCTATTTTGTTGCTCTAAAGCAGTTTTAAAAAGGTGTTAAAATCATAGAAGCTTCCGTAAATTTTGTAAATTCTCATAATAAACACAAGCAGCGGCAACTGCGGTGAGCGATCTGTTCGAGAACGATCTCGATCGCTTTGAACGGAATAAATATGCAAGGCGCGGCGACAATGCGCCCTGACTGAACTGGTAAATTTCATGTATGTTGACTTACATTGCTTACGACTAGGTAGCTCACTGCTTAGTCCAAAATTATCTAAGTAGCTCAACACACTGAAAAGGTTGGCGACCACTGCTCTAGAGCAACAAACTGTTGATTTGAATCGATTCTCCTTAACCTTCTACTGCGGTGGTCGACTACGAGCAGTAAAATTTACTTTCTCTCGCGTTTGTAGAAACGGTATAATCCGAGAACTCAAACTTTCGAGAATGTTTCAGAAAAAAAATGATTTTGCAGCATTCCAATGTCTTCCCAGATGTTGATCTTGCTCAACGTCTTTTTCTTGATGGTGGCATATCATGCTAGACTCGTGGAAGTGACTTCTAGACTGGACTTTCTTTGGAAGCAACAGGCAGAACGGGAATTGAACGATATGGAAGAAACGAGACATAATAATACGCAGCTTTTGAAAAATATTCTACCCGATCATGTGGCACAACATTTTCTTTCTAGTGAAAGAAACAGCGAAGTAAGTACGAGGAAGGTTTTGCAAGCAAAGCATGACTTTTTTTTCATTAGAAATACAGGGTCCGTCAGAAGGAACGCATGTTTTTTAAATGAGTAGTACAGTCAAAATAGGTATGGGAAAAAATATTTTATTGTATCAAACTACTTAGAGATACATGCCGTTTTTTGAAAAAAACAAAATTTATGTTTTAAAAACTATGTCGGCCATATGGCGCACTTGAGCCGAAATGCAGAAATCAAGCCTCTGCCGAAGTGAACCCGTTGCGTCAGCCAGAATCCGTGCTGGAATTTGGGTTACTTCTCTTCTTATTTCCCCCTTCAAATCGAAGAGGGTCCGAGGCTTGCTTTGGTAAACTTTTGATTTCAGGTAGCCTCATAAAAAAAATCACACGTTGACAGGTCCGGGGATCGAGGGGGCCATGGAATATCGCCATGACGTGAAATGAGACGTCCTGGTAATTTTTGCCGAAGAAGTTCCATCGAAGTGCGAGCTGTGTGAGATGTTGCCCCGTCTTGTTAGAACCACACTATTCTGAGACGGACACGTCGACGTCGAAGTTCCGGAAAAAAAGTTGTTCAGCATATGGGTGTCACAGTCACAATAAGGGCCAATAATCATCGTTGGGCATACACCAAACTATAGCTTTCGGGGTATTCAGGAGGTGCTCATGCAACTGTTGGGGGCTCACTGGAGTCCAATGTCGACAATTTTATTTATTGACGTATCCATGTAAATGAAAATGTGTTTCATCGCTCATAAACAACGTCATGTCATTGTTATCCAACTGTTCAATCATGAGCTGTGCAAAATTAACACGTTGTGCATAATCCTCTGGCAACACTTTTTGACAAACTTGGATTTTGTAAGTATGGAACACTAAATCCTTCTTCAAGCTGCGACGTACAGAGGAGCGTGGATCCCTACGAAACTGTCACGCAAACGGACGGAACGATTCGGGCTTTGCAGCGTGTCAACTCTCGCTCTGTCTACGTTTTCGGGTGTTCTAACAGTACGGTTTCGCCCTGGCAGTATTTTCATCACATTACATATTGTGTTGAATGCTTCCATCCATCTCAAAATGGTGCTACGGTCTGGTACATTTTGAAAGTACCGACGTACAGTGAACACACGATGCTCAAGGTCCCAAACCTTCTTGCCAACTGAAACGGCACTTCTCCCACTATCCAACACGCCCTTCCTCACCGACACGTGACCAGCCCACTCGACGTAGTACCCCTTGAACATGCATTCTTTCTGACAGTTGGGAGGTCTTTTTACAGGAACGGGGTATCCGAAAAGTTTGGACTTTCTTTTCTAGAAGCAATTACGTCCGGAATTTAACAGCAGCAAAAACATAAAAAAGAAATCGGAAAAAGTACTCATTATTGATTTGATCGGGAATTTTAAATACGTACTACCCGCTCACTTATTTAGCGCGTAAATAAAACTGAAGTCGCCATTCAATTCAAATACACTAGTTTGTTAACTTCTTCCTAGATTTGCAACATTTGGAGCTGTCCAGGTCTTTTGGATACTAAGGCAATCGTACCTTGTGACGTAGGAAGCAGGGTCAGGCTTGGCCCACTCCGAGCGTTTCAAAGCTGAATATCTTGGTCATTTTAAAGCTTTGGTGTACGAGGTCTATAAATTAAGTGATGAGTCTGATTTTTTAATTTCTTTATTCAAATATAATTACAATTTTATATTTTCACCCTCAAAACGATTTTCTTCTCAAGCCACACAGCCACAATTCCGATAGTGGAATAGCCTTCAGCTGGTCGATTACAGTCGTTTGAATATTTTCGGCTCTCCCAACATGAGAGCCCTTGAGGTGATTTTTCAATTTCGGAAAGAGAAAGAAGTCACAAGGACTCTGAGGAGCCACAGGAATATTTTTACTGGCGAGGAGCATTATCGTGATTCAACAGGCAGTTGTTTTTGATCTGAAGAAGGGTGGTATGAGTCAAATTTAACTCTTTTCCGATCATTCTGACTGTCAACCGACGATGTGACCCGTTAAAAAAATCGCTACAGACAACCAAATGACGACTCGAGTGAGTTCAGACTTGTACTGAAGGTGGATCACTTGTTCCGATGTCTCTCCTCCAAGCCCAGCGCCTTCAGTATTACACTTAATTTACATACCTCGTATGTGTTACTAGAAAAATTTAGTTATTGTTGTCAGACTTATACCAACTTTAAGGACACCCTGAATACAATGACAAGCAAAAATACATATATATGAGATAAAAAATTAGTGAGAATGCCTAGCAAATATGTGTTTTAGGAACTATATGCTCAGTACAGGGAAGAAATCGGTGTACTCTTTGCAAGTATACCAAACTTCACGGACTTTTATTCTGAAGATATCAATAAAGGCGTGGAATGTATTCGCCTTTTAAATGAAATAATTGGTACGTCACTTCCAACGTTACTGTAAGAATTTTCAATAAAAATATGTATCGATTTCAGCTGATTTCGATGAACTTCTAGATGAAGAGCGGTTCAGTACCATCGAAAAAATAAAAACTATCAGTGCTACCGCAACGTACATGGCTGCATCTGGGTTGAATCCGTCACATAAGGTAAAACCATAACTTTGTTCACAATATTATCCAAAAGCTGAGTCCTAGAATAGACCGTTGATAGACAAGAAATACGAATATGTGTACTTTACTTAGACCTAGAAAATGGAACCAAGATGTCAAAGGAACCGGAAGGTCTACGACTTCCGTGACTTAAGGTTCAAATTTAGTTTTTATATTAAAACCAAACGCAAATGTACTTCCATGGAGTTAGTTCCAACTCCATTCGACCAATCAGATCCACGGCTTTGCATTTAGTTTGTTTTATGTAAAAACAAGTAACAGAATGTTCATAGCCATGAACCAGTCTCAACAAGCTAGTAAGTGGTCCCCCCGCAAAATAGCATAATTTAAATTCCAATCAAAGGTTTACATTCAGTTCCAAAATGATGAAAGAACTGGGACAAGTTTCTGTGGTTCACTAGCCTGATTCAAGTCGAGTAAAATTCAAGTCCTCGGAAATCCGGGACCTTCGGAACCCTCATATACTGTGATTGGAAATTCACCGTTTTTTTTTCACATCTGGTGCATAAGCTAGCAATTGATGCATCACCAGAACAAATTGTTTTTCAGTTTCCAAGCAATTTATTACTGGAATAAATTTGCGGTGGTTACGCATCTCCTTTTGTATACACATTCACCATTTTTAGTACGAATGCTGATAAACGTGGGTATGTGCATTCACCATTTTTCACACCTCGCTTAACGAATCGCTAATACCTTTAATTTAATAAAAAATTAATTTCATAGCAATCGTGGTTTACCAATGTTTCTATTGCGTTCAATTGTAGTTCTACAACGAATGTTAATATAAGGCTTAAGTTTTATAATTTTTTAGTTAGCCATACTTCTTACACGTATCTGAAACTTATTTTGCAAGAAAAACGTCATTTTATCTTCCGTATATTCTAGGATCTGCGCAATTCTGACAGCCCAGAACATTTGTGTGCACTGGTAGATTTTGCCATGGAGATGCGCGTCAAACTAGACGAAATCAACAAGGACTCGTTCAATGACTTCGGTCTGCGCGTAGGAATTTCGTGCGGACCCCTCGTATGCGGAGTGATCGGAGCAAGAAAGCCAGTTTTTGACGTATGGGGCGACACCGTTAATCTGGCTAGTCGCATGGACTCCACTGGGGTCATGGGGACCATACAGGTGCCAAGGAAACTGCACAGGTACTTTTTGTTAATATAATAAGTGTGAGAATTTTATGAAAGTTCCTCGTATGCGGGGACATCGCTCTTTGATGGGACACTGCTAATATGGTCACTGGTGTCATGAGTATCTTTCAGGTAACTAAGAAAGCTGTCCAGATAATTTTATTTTTCATGCCGATTGACTACTCTGATGGCACAAAATTTCGGAAACAAGAAATTGTTTTTCTTTAAGGTTTCATGGAATTATGGAAGCCCAGGCCACTAATTTTCGTGGATGTGTCTGTCTGTCTGTTTGTTGCTTATCTGATAATCCATGGTCCATCTATATCTCGAAAAATACTTCCGGGTTTTGATAAAGTTTCGAGTAAATGCTTCTACCATGCCAAGGAGTAAAAACTTTGTAGGTTTAGAATGTCTTTACAGTGGCAGAGAAGTTATTAGCAGACACTAACAATGTCAACGCACTCCCAAACATCCTTTTACGATGTTTGCTAATGTCTGACAATTACAGGAGGGGATGAGACTGAAAATACGTTGATAATATCAGAGCAAGAATATTAATCCTGATAAACTACTGTTTAAAATATGGCGAATTTCCAACACAACTGAAGTGTTCTACCATAACTCCTGTCTCTAAAGTTTAGAATCTGAGCTGTATCGGCCAATAAATGTTCTGCCAGATGTTGAAAAAGTTTTTGAAGAAATTATTTACGAACAGATCATCGAATTTATTGAGAGAAATAACATTTCAAACAAATTTCAAGCCAGATTCAGGAAGAAAACACCCTTAAGGGACCGTTTCTCCACTACCAGGTCCATTGCAAATGAATGGTTTGCAGAACACGGAAGACCTATTGGCATGCGAAGTCTTTACCGACGAATGAGAAGTTTTGGCTTGTTTTCATACCGGCCACACTGGGTCCTCCCTTTAACTCGAGAACACCGACGTAATCGCCTTGAGTGGTGCAGACAACGGTCAGTCTGGGATCAGGAATGGAACAGTATTGTCTTTAGTGACGAGTCTCGATTTTGTTTAGGCATGCACGATGGTCGTGCCAGGGTTAGAAGGCGACGTGGTGAAAGGAGGAATCCACAGTTTTTTGTTGAAAGACATGTTCATCACACTGTTGGAGTTATGGTTTGGGGTGCTATAGCTTATGGTTCCAGGTCACCTTTAATCTTCATCAGAGGTAACATGAACGCGCTGCGTTATATCCACGAAGTTCTAGAATCCCATCTTTTACCCTATCTTGACACCCTGGCAGATCCAACTTTCCAACAAGATAATGCCCGACCACATGTTGCAAGAGTCACAATAGACTTCTTTCAACATAATGATGTCACATTGTTATCATGGCCACCAAGATCTCCCGACTTATCCCCAATTGAGCACGTGTGGGATATGATGGGTAGGAGATTGCTCAATTTGCAACGTCCTCCTCAGACTCTAGAAGCACTACGAGAGGAGTTGGTGGTTGCCTGGAATGAGATACCACAGGAGGACATTGACCACCTGATCAGAAGCATGCCTAGGCGCGTTGGAGAATGCGTAGCACATCAGGGTGCATCCACACATTATTAAAGGTCAAACGGCTTTAAAGCAGTGCAATCATTTTGAAATTTTTATCATTTACTTATTATGCTTCATTAAGTACTTATACAAAATTTTATTAAAATAAAACCATTTAAACTAGGTGTTCGGATTTATATGTCACTTAGTATACTTACAAAATTGCATCACTACGGATTTAAAGGATCTGTATTCAAAAACTCTACAAACTATATATTTAATTGACAGAAGTCAAAAAAACAAAATTGAATCTACATTTTCAAGATCAAAAAATATTCCTGTTAGTATACCGCAAGGTAGTAAACTAGGTCCATTACTATTTATTTTAGACATTAATGACATTTGTAATATTTTAGATTATTGTAAACTTCAGATATTTGCAGATGATGCATTAATTTACATATCAGATGAAAATATAGACACTGCTTTAAAAATGCTAGATTATGACTTGACAAAAGTCGTAAATTGCTTAAATGTAAATAAACTGAAATTGAATACTTCTAAAACAAAATGTAAGAGGAAATATAGATTTTCATTTACAAAATTGCAATAGTAATATAACTAGCAAATCAATATTTCAGCAAGGATTACTTGAATTTAAGAAACTAAATAATGATATAAAGTCTACTTGTAATTTAAAGATATTAAAAAGAAAATTAAAAGAATATTTCATGGACAATGAAAATTCTTAAAGATGCAAATTTTGATTTTTTCTGAATATCTGTATGTTATGTAATTGTTTAGTTTTTAGAAGAATGTAATTGTGGCAATTATGCTAAATAAATCTTAAACAAACAAACAAACAAACAAGAAATGGGTGAACGTAAAGGAAACGATCGAGTACGTTCATATGCAGATTGGATTGAAATGTTCGTAGCTAACTTCTTTCTCAGTGGGGCTAGCTTGTGCCTCAAATAAACCTTATTCATTTTTTAAAGCTGTCACAGTTTCTAATGATCTTAACATATAAAAATTTTTATTTACATCAATGAATCAATGTACCTCGCTGCTCTATATTTGTTATTATAAATTTGTGGAGTCTGGTAAATTTGCTGTTGGAGAGGGTTGACGACACAATTTCATCAAATACTAATTTTATAGATGCTAGGTATGAGAGGGTATGAATTAAAAAAGCGTGGCATAGTAGACGTCAAAGGAAAGGGCTTGATGGAGACCTACTACGTGACAGGAAGGCAGGTGAAACGCCCTCCAAGTTTTCAAAGACAGCCAAGCCATCCTAGCAGCTTGGCAGCTGTCGTATACGCATTAGCACAGACTAGGAGAAAACATACTGTCAACACACGTGAGTATTAAAAAAATTTTTGTACATAAAGATGCAAATTAACGTCGAACATTCAAAATTTGACGTACCGGACCGCGAAGTTAAAGATGCTTTTGGCGAAGCTGAATTGTTTTTGTTATTCGGACTTTTACCACCTTTAGGGCTGATCGACATACCTAAACAAAGTTTTTCCTCACATCAAACTTTTACGAGGTAAACTGACCAAAAGAGATGCAGTTGAATCCGAATCTCAAGAGTTTTTGACATTGGCCTAAATCCTCGATGACATCAAAAACTTACCTGTCATTACCAGATTTAGTTGCAGATCAGTTTTTATTTACGATGCGTCCATTTTTCTTACTGCTCAGGTTGATCTTCAGAATCTCCAACTCTGAAAGTTCGTAAGATTGTACAATCGCATGTCATTGGACACATTTGGGAAACTACGAGGAGTGGCAGAAAGTAATGAGACTGTTTTTTTATTTAACAAAGTTTTTATTTTTATAAAACATCAATGTATCTTTGAGAAGAAGTTCCCTCGGGCAGTGACACACCGATGGAGACATTGTTCCCAGTTTTTATAGTAGCGCTGACAGTCTTCAATCAGTGTTACATTCAGTATGTATGTTGTCTCTTGGATGTTTTCTAAGGTCTCCAGGGCATTTTTCAGTTTTGGAAAAAGAGACTGAGATTAGTTGAACAGAGGGGATGGGAAACCATAGCAATGCCTTTTGGGGTCACAAAAAATCCAATATTTGTCACCTAGGATGATACGACTAGGTAAGGCCCGTATCGTCAGTCGTCCCTACAATTGTAGGGTGCGTTTATGGCCTCCTTGATTGTCATACTCTTTTCTCTCCTTCAAAAATTTCTAGATTACACTCGTCCCGTGTCAGCGTCAGCGCTCTCCTATTGTTAAGATACGTTTTCCTTTTAAATTGTAGGAAATTTCAGGCTGTTAAAACATGATATAACTCAAAAGCAAGCACAATTTGATGCAAATAGATGTTTGTGACATAACCTCAACATAGAGCTCTGACACGGAGGAGTAGAAAACTATGACAATCAAGGAGGCCATAAACGCGCCCTACAATTTGTAGGGACGACTGACGATACGGGCCTAAAACTTGGTCATTGACAATTATGTCAAGAAGAGATATTTGGTCCTGACCAATTGTGAGTCTTTCGGCACCATTTTGGCTCAAATCTTTCGCATGTGCAATGTTCAGCCAAAATTTGATGAATGGTAAATCAGTTTAAATTTGAAGGACCCCAGTGCGGCGTTGCAGGATCGCTTGCAGAATTGCCAGTCTCACTACTTTTCTGCCACACAATCGTGCGTAGAGAAAACTACCTCAACCGTCCAACATTGACTAGATCAAAATACTTTTTAGCTGGTAGTGCCGTTTTAGGGCGCGCAAGGACACAGCAAAGAGCAGATGGTAGGAGAATTATCAATTATAGTTCCATGAGACTTTCACAGAGACCAGGAGGATATCCGATCAGAAGAAATACTACCAGGGCTCATCAAAAACAAATGCACGCTAGGTAAGTTTTTACTAGAAACTTTTACCTGGATATCTATCAACTGAGAGAGTTATTGACAAATACAGGGACTTTGAAGTTGAGTCATTAATTTTCAGATAATGATTGTAGAAGGAAAATAAACCAAAATATGTGTGTAAAAATAAAAAAAAAATAAAAAAAATTTTTTACCTTGTTTTATAAAGTATCCTCCCGACAAGTATTTCAGTGCGGACCTGTATTTGATCGTGAGGTCCCCTGTGAGGTCTGAAGTCACCTGATTCACGAGCCCGTTGTACTACTATTAACAAAGGCACGAGGGGTTGGTTGCACTCGATTGGGAAACCGATCCGCATAAACATGTGCCATTTTTTATTTCGTTTGAGCCACGCAACACACTATTCACACGCGACTGACAGTGATTGTATGTATAACTGAACTGAATAAAGTAAACATCGTTCCAAATTCTTTCGCTTTTTTGTTTCCGATGCGATGAACCGATAAGGTGGATTATATCCGTTGTTGCCAAACACGAGCACATGATGTTATTGAGACAGGGCGGTACTCAAACTTCCAAAGGACTATAACTTTGTTACTTTAATTTTACCAGAAAAATGGTAAAGGAAAAAAACATTTCTTTTGATCAGATCTACTCACTGTTAAAATAAATGACTCAACTTCGAAGTCACCCTGTATATACTAAGTGACATATAAATCTGAACTCCCAGTTTAAATGGTTTTATTTTAATAAAGTTGGTGAATGTATTTATCTACTGTAAATAACAAGTGAAAAAATTTTCAGCCTTATCAGTTGGACATTCCGGTTTTTATACTGCTTTTTTTAATTCACTAACGCTCTAAAAATGAATATTTCAGCCGCAGTAAAGAATCAACGTTGGCGGATTTTGGTTCTTGACATCCTTTACGATCGGTTACGATGCCTAGAGTACGGAGACCTGTACGATTTCGTCAACTTACTGAGTTTGATAGGGGCCGTATAGTGGGACTTCGGAAAGCTGGACTTCCTTTCGGGCAATTGCAGTTAGAGTGCAAAGAAGTGTAGACACTGTGGTTAGGTGTTGTCAGGTATGGCTTCGAGAATGCCGTACGCAAAGAGCAAGGGGCACTGGACGCCGCCGTAGAACAACAGACCGTGAAGATCGCCGCCTAAGATTATTGGCCTTAAGGGACCGTTTCTCCACTACCAGGTCCATTGCAAATGAATGGTTGCAGAACACGGAAGACCTATTGGCATGCGAAGTGTTTACCGACGAATGAGAGAAGTTTTGGCTTGTTTCGTACCGGCCACACTGGGTCCTCCCTTTAACTCGAGAACACCGACGTAATCGCCTTGAGTGGTGCAGACAATGGTCACTCTGGGATCAGGAATGGAACAGTATTGTCTTTAGTGACGAGTCTCGATTTTGTTTAGGCATGCACGATGGTCGTGCCAGGGTTAGAAGGCGACGTGGTGAAAGGAGGAATCCACAGTTTTTTGTTGAAAGACATGTTAATCACACTGTTGGAGTTATGGTTTGGGGTGCTATAGCTTATGGTTCCAGGTCACCTTTAATCTTCATCAGAGGTAACATGAACGCGCAGCGTTATACCCACGAAGTTCTAGACCCCATCTTTTACCCTATCTTGACACCCTGGCAGATCCAACTTTCCAACAAGATAATGCCCGACCACTTGTTGCAAGAGTCACAATAGACTTCTTTCAACATAATGATGTCACATTGTTACCATGGCCACCAAGATCTCCCGACTTATCCCCAATTGAGCACGTGTGGGATATGATGGGTAGGAGATTGCTCAATTTGCAACGTCCTCCTCAGACTCTAGAAGCACTTCGAGAGGAGTTGGTGGTTGCCTGGAATGAGATACCACAGGAGGACATTGACCACCTGACCAGAAGCATGCCTAGGCGCGTTGGAGAATGCATAGCACATCAGGGTGCATCCACACATTATTAAAGGTCAAAGGGCTTTAAAGGAGTGCAATCATTTTGAAATTTTTATCATTTACTTATTATGCTTCATTAAGTACTTATACAAAATTTTATTAAAATAAAACCATTTAAACTGGGTGTTCGGATTTATATGTCACTTAGTATATATGAAGTAAAAAATTTTCTCAACACATCTTCTGGCTATGCCTGAGCGATCTACAAGGTTCTGCCAAAACAAGGGGCAAACATTCAAGTGAAGATTCCTCGATTATACAGAACAAACAAATATAGATGTAAAAATTATATTTGTTGTCTCTTAATTTGCAAAAGCTGTTTAAATTCTAGTAGCTTTGGTTTGACTGCATGTACGCTTTAAGCAGAACCATATGCTCTGATCTGCTCGATCTTTGGACCATGATCCTCTAGGTTATTTCCTATTATGCTACCTAGAGCTATTTATATCAAGAAACTTTACATTTGATACTCACTAATAAAATATTATATTTTACAAAATATTTTTCCATGCATCTTGAAAACGAAGAGATGTTCAGATTGTATCTTGTTTTGGGGATACCATGTAGAAATGCAAACAGAAACTTAAGCAACCTGCTTATGATGTAGAACGGTTTCAATCATCAAGATTATATATGATATTCATTTGAAAACTTCAAACCACGGATTTATCGAAAATCACGAAAAGAAAAAACGCCGATACACAAAAGATTTGTCAAGGGGGACAACTTTTTAACCAAAAAGAACTTCACTCCCTTTGATCTTCGGCCCCCAAGGTCATTCCCTTAATGATTTCAAATGTCAAGAAGTACCGAGTAATAGCTTGAAAGGTCTTTCAAAGTCCTTCATTTTGACGTTTGATTTTTCAAAATCGGTCGATTGATTTACAAGAAAATAAGATGATTACCCTGGGGGCAGAGGGTAAAAGAGGGTGAAGTAGTTTTTGTTTAAGAAGTTGTTTCGCTTGACAGGTCTTTTGACGTGTCTCGGCATTTTTTCTCTTGATCAGCGGTTTTCGACTAATTCGTTGTGGGAAGTTTTCAAGTGATTACCCTGTATGTATAAATGAAAATTCGCATCTTCTGGAAAATATGTATGAGACATACCAAAAATTATACTAGTGTGTTCAGAAAAAAAAATAATGTATAGAGAAAGAAATTAGAAAAAGTTCTGTATTAATGAAACAACAAGAAATCGGAAATACAAATAATAATGTAAATAGCCGCATAACATATTGTTAACGTTCATGTTTCCTAATCCAGATCCCAACCGAACATGCGTCAACTGTCAGGCTCAGGCACGTACTTGGAGAACATGAAGTCCATGCGATCGATCGACCATGATCCTATTCCAAATAATCATCACAAAATGGCGGTGTCCCAGTCTGCTCCTCACACGCCAGTTTCGGCTACCAGCCATGAAGGGTCCATCTTCAAATCAGTGCCAAGGTTGTTGTCGGAGCCTATCGTGAACAGGTCTGTAACATTTTTTTTTTAAGAATCAACATTGCCGGCTACAGGCAGTAAGCAAGTGAGGCGGCTTCCTCAGGGCGTAGTGTAGGGTTACCAGATGGGACGACCAATATCTGAGGAAAATCTAAATAAAAAACGGGATTTTGGGATTATAATCAGGACATAACGGGTGATTTTCAAGAGGTATAGGATTTGATTTTCAAAAAAAAAACAAAAATTTGAAAAAACGTTAAATCTTTATTTGAGCCGATAGAACGGTCGATATAATTTAATGTTTAAAGATTATTTCATGTAAATGTTGGCCGCGGCTCCGCTCTAGATGGCCCATGCGCAAGGTCCAATTTTGGCACACTCTCTCCAACATATCGGCCGGTATCTCACGAATAAATGCTCCAATATTGGCTTCCAGTGCGTCAATCGTTGCTGGTTTATCCCTGTAGACATTAGCTTTAACATGGCATCACAAGAAATAGTCCAACCGCGTTAAATCATGCGATCTAGGCGGCCAATTGACGGGCCCCAAACGTGTGATAAACTGTTCACCGAATTCGCCTCTCAATAGGGCCATTGTTTCGTGTGCGGTGTGGCATGTGGCACCGTCTTGTTGAAACCACATGTCAGCCAAGTCTAGCTCTTCCATTTTGGGCAAAAAAAAAGTTTGTTATCATCGCACGGTAGCGCTCGCCATTCACAGTTACGTTCCGGCCATTGTCGTCTTTGAAGAAGTACGGCCCGATGATGCCACCAGCCCATAATCCACACCAAACAGTGATTTTTTCGGGATGCATTGGTAGCTCTTGCAATGCTTCTGGCTGGTCTTCACTCCAGATGCAGCAATTTTACTTGTTAACGTACCCATTCAACCAGAAATGAGCTTCGTCGCTGAACACAATTTGTCGATAAAAATGTGGATCTTCCTCCAACTTTGCCAGCGCCCATTCACCAAACTGGAAACGTAGTGGGAGGTCGTGTGGCTTCAAGTCTTGCACCAGCTGTATCTTATAAGGTTTTACACCCAAATCCTGTGGCAAAATTTTCCACGTAGTGGAGTAACAGACGCCCAATTGCTGCGAACGGCGGCGAATCGACATTTCACAGTCATCACTAACACTAGCGGATACAGCCGCAATATTTTCTTCAGTCCTCACTGTACGTCTGCGTTTTGGTGATTTAATGTCCAGTAATGTAAACTAGGTTCGAAGTTTAGTCACAAGCTTCCGAATAGCTCCCTCAGTAGGCCGACCAAATTGCCCATAAATTGGAAGCAGTGCTCGATGCACTCTCTTAACCGAGCATGAATTTTGCTAGTAAAATTCAATAATTTGCAAGCGTTGTTCGTTCGTAAGTCGATTCATGGTTAAATTATAGACCAAACTGAACAAGTTTGACAATGACACAAGACACGATTCACGCGTCGTTTGTCCAAAACAGTGTTGCCAAAAAGATACTAGCAAAAAAATCACCCATTATAAATATTACGGATTAAAAGGTTATTTTTTATTATTCAAATTAAAGTTATTACAACAAAACACCTTTTTGACAATGTATTAACACGTCAACGGAACCTTTCAACCTAATTTTCACGAAGTCTGATTAACTTGTGAATTTGCAAAGGGGTCAAGAGCCGATGACATTATCTTAAAAAAAACACTCAAATTTGAAGAGTTTCAAATGATTTGAATTTTGAAAATAATTCGAAAATTCAGAAATTTTGAAAATAATATGAAGATTTATAATTTTTGAAAAAACGTAAATTTTGGAAAAATATTGAGAATTAGGAATTTACCTATTTAGCAAAATAGTTACCAATTTACAACAATAAAAGTACAGCAGGCAATAGTCTTTGTAATAAAAGTGAAAGAAAAGTAATTTCATCCTTGTTTCCTCTTTCCACTTTTGTGCACTAGTTCCAATCCTGTATAACGTCTTTGAAAATATTTGCTCCAACGCCAAATCTTCGACATTTCTATTGTTGTAGTCCTTGTCATGAATATCGCACAAGCAGGAGAGCTTTTCAACAGCCAATGTTAGTTCTTCTGCTTCACACATTGTCCTGATGCATTCGAGCTCTTGATACAATGACGTGACGTCCAATACGCACGTCATTTCGCGGTTCTGGATGGAACTTTCCGACTTTGGACGGTACAGTACAAATGTATGCCAGTGGTGCGTTCCTAGGACGTCACTAGGATTTATCTGTTCCGTTCTTATGAACGCATGGGCTGGCTTCCCAAACGTGAAGAATGTGTTGTTCGGAAAAAAAATGAACGTGTGCGGCAGTCAATATATTTTATTAGCGTTTGATGCATTCGGGTCTCCGAATAAGGAAAACGAATTCGGAAATCGAATGCGGAAAACGAATGTATGCGGCCAGCCTAATTATCTATATTCTCATAATAACTCTAGTTTTATGAATAGCGACTAAAAAATAATTCAAATAATTCTTACGTTTCGTTCTTCTTTTACTATATTGAATTTTTTGTTAGTATCTTAATTTTTATATTGATCTCATTCCAAGTTAGTTAGTCATACTTGATTGTTGGACTTTCTCTTGCAGTAACATAAACTCTCCTATGCTTGGAAATTATTTTCTACTTTTTCGTTCGATTTGCTATTAAAGCGTGTTTTTTATTTTATTTTTCAACTGTAATTCATTAGATTACCGCTGAAACATCTAAGATCATAATAATTAAATGAGAGAACCGAGTAATTTTAAATTGCCATCATTTTAAATTTGTGTTCTGATATTTGTTGGGACAATTTGTATTTTGCCAGGTAATGCTGGGATAATCCCGATGAATCCCAACCATCTGGTAACCTTAGCGCAGTATCACGAGGTTCGCAAAATCAATGTGAGTGGAGGGCGCATATTTCATCATTTGCATCAATTCTGAAGTCGGTGCTGAGAATGAGGTTGTAATAATTAACAGATCAAACGAACTTAACTGTAGTGAAGTTCTATCTGAATTATATGAAGCCTCGTCGAAGTAATTAAGAACTGTAGTAACTTCCACTTACTATCCAACCACACGCATTTTTAAGATATCGATTTTTCGATTCCCTGCACTCCGCTGATCCCCGACCCCGGCGAACTAGGTCATTCTTTTTAAAGCAAGCCAAATATTTATAATTGTATGCTTAGGGCTGGGTCGGGAGGGACTTAATTACTTCGACGAGGCTTCATATAATTCAGATCGAACTTCACTACAGTTAAGTTCGTTTCATCTGTTAATTATATTCCGCCTCGTCTCATAATTAAGAACTGTAGATGTTTAAAGAATTTAGCAACAATTATAAATATTCATAAAGTTTATTTTCTGAAAAACGAAAATATACAAACTTGGAACAAAAACGAACTGTTAACCATTAACTGAAGGAAATAAGAAAAAGGTTAATTCTATAACCTAAATCTAAATACATAAGTATAAATAGAGAAACAAGATAATGTAATTTCTCAGAAACTATGAGCCCAAAACAGCCTCGGCAAAATTAGACTTTTTTATCAACGGGCGTTGATAGAAATTGGCAAATGTCTTTGATTTGTCAGTCCATCCTGCTGCCAGCCTAATTACATCCATACTAACTCCCTTGCGAGCCGCGGCAGATGTGGCTGCATGTCGTGTACTATGGGCAGTAAATATGGATGTATCAAGACCGCTATTTTTAAGAACTACTTTTATCCATCTACTGATTGAGCTAGATTTTGCATTTTTGAAAGGCTTCTTAAAGGTAATAAATAATAAGTTGCAGTGGGTGTCTCTTAATTTCACTGTTTTATTTAAATATTGAATTAAGCACTTGGCTACACATAATGAAGGATCTGTCTTGTAAAAGGGCAGAACTAGAGTTGGCTGCAATCTATTTAAACCAGAAGTTTTAAGTCGCTTAGGAATCTTGATGGTGATGCCATCCTCAGCTATCACTATATTGGAGATTTCAATACTAGCCAACGTTTGTACCCGTTGTCCTGTACTGAGAGCCAAAAGCGCTGCTAATTTATAAGTTAATTGTTGTAAGGAAATGTCCTTCGGAAAAGTTTTTATGTAGTTAAGGACGATACAGGGGTCCCAGGTTGTATTGTACTTGGCCTCATTGGGTCGCAAATTAAAAATCCCTTTGAAAAATCTTTTAAGCCTAAAGTCATTTGCAAAACCTGACCCTGCTATCTGACCTATTGCACATTTATATGAATTTAAGGTGCCATAAGAAGCACCTTCATTAAAATACAATGTTAGGAATTTTAAAACATCTGGTATAGATACTGAAAATACATTCTTATTTTCTTCTTTACAAAATTCCCACCAAAGTCTCAATCCGGAATTATATTGTTTAATCGTTCCATTGGTAATGAAAGCCATACAAATATCCAGTGATGCTTTAGGTACGCCGCCTAACTGCAATGCTTGCCGGATAAGACTCCTGCTACCAATGTAATTTTCTTCCATAGTGGATGAGGAGTCCTATCAAAAGAGAGAAGTAAATCTTGAGTTGGGGTGAAATAAATTAATTTACTAACAAGCAATGAGTTAAAAACGGGAAACCATGGCTGAGAGGTCCAATTGGGAACAACGAAGATGCCTGTTGCTTTATCCTCGATGATCTTGTGCAAACACTGTAATATGATTGCAAATGGCGGAAATGCATAAAAATAAAAGGTGGACCAGTTAATGGTGAATGCATCAACTGCATAACATTCTGGATCTCTCAGCCAAGATATAAAACGTTTGCATTTTTATGAACTCGTGAGGCAAATAAGTCAATTTGGGGCCTATTGAATTCACGCGTTATCTTTTGAAAGGCCCTATCACTTAATTCCCACTCAGTCTGAGTTTCCAACTGCCTAGACTCCTTGTCGGCCACTTTATTATCCTCAGATTTAATATAAGATGCATACACAAAAATATTCCTATTTTCGCACCATTGCCATAATTTCCTTGCTAAAGAGTTAAGTCTAGGATAACGAACAGAACCCATTCTATTGATACAGGCAATTGCTGTAGTGTTATCTATCCGGCATAAAATATTACAGTCGGAAGTATTATTAGCAAAGCATTTTATAGCAAAAAGGGCAGCAAGGAGTTCGAGATAGTTTATGTGCTCCCGAATTTCCACACTGTTCCAGAAACCATGAGCCGTTCTTCCCTCACAGCAACTGCCCCAACCAGTTGTAGATGCATCAGAAAAAATGGCCAATTTAAAGTCTCTTGAGGGTAAATGATTATAAGAATTATTAATATTTTTAAGCCACCAAAGGAAATCTTCAGATAATTCAGAGGGAATGTCCATTGTAGAGTCAAAGTTTACCTCTGATTTAATGAGGGCATTTGTCTTAACTCTTTCAAAATTTTTTGTGTATAACCATCCATACTTTACTGCCGGGCAAGCTGAGGTCAAAACACCAATAAAATGAGCAAATTCCCGAATCCTGCATATTTTACGCTCTAAAAATTTTTTACCAAGCTTCATGATTTTTTGTTTTTTATGTTCGGTCAGGCAGATGGTCATATTTATTGAATTATAAGTAAACCCTAAAAAGGTGCAAATCTGCTGAGGGCTAGGGGTACTTTTAGAAAAATTTATAATAAACCCCAATTTTTCCAATAACTGGATGGTTTCCTGTAAGTTGCGTCCACATTCTAATTTTGTGTTTCCAAACAATAGAAAATCATCAAGATATAGTACAGAGGTTAATCCTTTTTTCCGTAAAAAACCTAAAATGGGTTTCATTAATTTAGTAAAAGTTAGTGGAGCACAGTTCAACCCAAATGGCATACAGGTAAATTCATACAGTGAATTCTTAAACTGAAACCGTAAATATTTCCTATGTGCCTTATTAACAGACAATAAAAAATATGCATCCTTTAGATCCAATGTTGCCATCCAACAATTTTTATTTATCAACTTGATAACAGTTTTATGGTCTTCTATTTTGAAATGGCGAGCATTTATATATTTGTTAAGATGCTTGAGATTTGAGATAATATGACTCTTTTTGAGCCGTCTGCTTTTGGGGTAAGAAATATTCTAGATATAAACTGCCCTCTACAAGGTTTAACTCTGGTTATAGCGCCTTTCTCAAGAAGGTCATGTAATGAATCTTGGATTTGCTTCTGCTCACGTAAGGACCATTTAGGTTCACGCGGAGCACTAAACTGCCAAGGTGGTCGTGCAAAAGGTATTTTAATACCTTGAATCCAAGATAAAACACATTTGTTTTTGGTTAACTGCGACCAAGCTTGATGAAAATGCCTGAGCCTACCAGCGATTTTACCAACCTGAGAATCTACTGACGGTGTCTCGTCCACTCTTTTTGCTTCTCCTGCTTGTAATACCCTCCGTCCCGGCTTTTGTGATCTCGTCGAGGCTGCTGATATTGCTGGCGTCCGCCTCGTCGCAGCCCTTGGATTTTTCGAGGCGAACTTTTGGGGTTTAAAGGACGATTAGGATATGAACTGGAAGATGCCTTGGTATATGGCAATCTTTTTTCCTTTAAATCTTTACTGGATTGAGCAAGGTTCTTGTGGAATCTAACCCTGTCTTCTAGGTCTTTCCCAAAAAGCCATTCATCATTTGGCGCATTAAGTAAAGTGTCCTTCAAACCTTTGTTGAGGTTCAGTGCTGCTAGCTCTCTACGCGAGAGTGTCTCCTGATGAAATAAATCAGTTAGCAGCCTCCCAGCTTCGCCCAGTTGTTGAATAGCTCCTACATCCCGTTCCTTCTTCCTTTTCAAAAGGTTAGTAACCGCCAAACCAATAGCCGATATGGCTGCGCTAATCTGCGCCTGAATGTCACACAACCTCTTGTCTCTTCGAATTATTGAATCAGAAGAGGCAGTGATCACCAAGGGATTCAGTTTAGGGGGGGCTAAGGAAATGCAATTCTCTGGGTGAGGGAATTTCCTCAGTAATTCTTGTCTTTCGTCGTCACCAAGTCCCTTGTTTAAAATTCCGGTCCAAATTTCTGACAGGTCCTTTTGGATTGGCGAACTCAGGTTTGACGACTGAACAACATTTTTCCCAAAAAGGGATAATACCGCTTGATCAAGGCTGGCTTCACTCTCACCATCAGAGTTATTATCGCCACTGACCTCTGATGTCTGGTCACTAATAAAATCTTCATCCTGAGTCTGAGGGGTAAAGGCGACGTCTTCGCGCCTATATGGGCTAACAGAGCGGGCAACAGACTGCCGCCTTAAAATGTGAGCCAATGATGCAAGCGAGGCTTCCTCCTCGGAATCTACCTTTGAATAATTTCCATCATTTTGTTGACTCGGAGAGTCGTTAAAATTCGACGATTGACACGGAACATCCTCCTCGTGTTCTCGCGATTTAGAGCTCGTACGACTCGTAACAGGCCGACGACCAGAACTATTACACCCAAAACATGTTTGAGATTTGGCAACATCATCGTGCCTTTGTCTAACAGCAGGTTTGGCAACATCATCGTGCCTTTGTCTAATAGCAGGTTTGGCAACATCGTCGTGTCGTTGTCCAGCATCAGGTTTGGCAACATCCTCGTGCCTCCGCCGACCCCGCTCCGCAGATTTGGCAACCTCGCCGGTGATTTCATCATGCTGGCGGAACCGCTTGGTGCCATCTTTTTTAATCTGCGTAGCTTCTAAATCTGCCAATTTTCTCCGTAACACACTTATTTTCTCGTCTACACTATCCACCACTTCCTCACTGCACTTCCTCTTACGGTTCTTCACCACTTTCGGCATTTTTTAGTATTAACCGACCACGCACAACAATCACTATTTGCATACACCGGTCGCGCGATACGTATGGTTCGACACGCAATGAAAGAATGACCTAGTTCGCCGGGGTCGGGGATCAGCGGAGTGCAGGGAATCGAAAAATCGATATCTTAAAAATGCGTGTGGTTGGATAGTAAGTGGAAGTTACTACAGTTCTTAATTATGAGACGAGGCGGAATATAATACCGAAATCAGTCGTTGTTGATTGCCAAAGCGCGGATCCTAAGATTTTACCTTTCATGTCAAGTATAGATCTGCCAACTGAGGAACCAGAAATTTTATGAGGGAAGAAAGGAGAATAAATGAGAAAATAAGGGATATTTACAAATGGAAAGCGGGGATCGATAGGAAGTTCAGAAATAATTCGACATAATTGGATTACGCTAGTAGGCCAAAAGAAACAAGCAATAAAATGAAAAGTTGCAAACTTTACTGAAACATTTTATAGTATTTTACTTGAACGATATGCTGAGCGCTCTCCAAAGCTGCTTAACTCATATTCAGAAGGATACCTCCAGAATTCTTTCGATTTTCTCATTTTTCCTTTCTACTCCATACTACAATAATTGAAGGGCAAGTATTTTAATCGCTGAAAATTCCGGAAATGAGATACGTTTTTTTAGACGTTACTTGACACATACATCACGAAACAACAAAATTTCAACACATGGCCTCCTCACTCTATACAAGGCCCAGATAAGACCTGGCCTCGAGTATTGATCACACGCTTGGGGTGCTGCCGTCCCGACTTATTATTATTCATGCTCGATGCTGTTCAGAAGAGGGCTGTACGACGTTGCACAATTGATGACTCTTCTCTAACAAACAGTCCCGGAACCCTTTCGCACCTTCGGGCCTCTCTTCTACCGCTACACGAACAGGCTTTGCTCCTCAGAGCTCCATGATGCTGCCGCTCGATGATCCTAACCGTATTAAACTTTGTACATCCAGAACTAGCTGATACGATCGCTGGTTTGTCCAGGGAGTGTCGGGATTGTGGAACAATCTACAAGAGGAGGCTTTTCCAAGCTCTTAGACCTTAGACAGTTCAAAAATCGGATATACAAAATTTCTTTGGGATCCTTATAGCAGCCGCGGTGTCCTGACATTTAGGCTTCTGCCTGCGCGGCTGCTTCGGTGTAAAAAAACGTACTACTATGCCAAGGGCAATAATGCTTTACAGCTTTTGAAAATCGATGAAGTTGTGGCGGAGCTGCGAGCTACAGGCGAAAGAACAAAAATCTCCCAAACTTCGTTTTTTGAGTTTCAGGAGCTCCTGCCGATTTTTTGATTTTATTTAAGTTATTCTACGCACCTTACATACGTTTGCCCTTAAGACGTATAATGATAATGAGAAGTATTTCGAGCGCAGTGAATTTACAACCTAAAACTGCCTCGAGCTGGCCGATGTTGCAGATGAGGTCGCAACGTTGTCAAATGGGCGAGGACTAGGGACTAATAATTGTATGTGCCTATTCGACTGACTTGATATACTTAAACACGTTCCTGGTTAACATTTTTCTAAGAGGGCCCAATTTTCCGAGCATAATTTTTGTGAGCGCGTTACACGGGAAGTGCAGAATCAACCTGCTCAACGCCATTTGAGGAAAGTATTGATGTTCTGTATAAGCAGATGCTTATTCACCCTCTCCATGAGAGATTCCATTTTATTTCAGACAGTATTGAATCGCGTGAAACTTTGAAATCCTGACAATATGAAAAACGATCTCACTCATTTCCGTCGGTCTGTCTATCATTCGTCCAATAAAAATTACTTCTACGTATTTTGGATTTTTCCCTGCTTGTTTGTTTGTTTAAGATTTATTTAGCATGATTGCTACAATTACATTCTAAAAAACTAAACAATTACATAACATATGGACATTCCGAAAAAAAACAAAATTTCAAACTCTAAGAATTTTCATTGTCTATGAAATATTCCTTTAATTTTCTTTTAAATATCTTTAAATTACAAGTAGACTCTATATCACTATTTATCTTATTAAATTCAAGTAATCCTTTCTGAAATATTGATTTGCTGGTTATATTACTATTGCAATTTTGTAAATGAAAATCTATATTTCCTCTTGTATAAAAATTGTGGTAATGATTATTCAATTCTATGTAGTGTTCTAAATGTTCTGGCAAATGATGATTTTTTATTTTAAATATAATAATAAGAACCATATATGATATGAAATTTTTTATATTCAACCACTGCAATTCTTGTAACATAGATTTTATTTTGGTGTACTTATTTTTGTTCAATATTATTCTCATAGCTTTATTTTGCAATACTTGTAATTTTGAAAATACAGCTTCTTTGGCAGTGAACAAGAAAGTTGAACAATATAGTAAATGCGGTAGAATAATTGTATTATAAACTATTTTCTTGGAATAGGTACCAAGACTATGAGAAGCCCTATAAAAGTAATTTGTTTTTTTGGCAATTTTTGGAATAATGTATTCATAGTGGTCCTCAAACTTTAGTTTACTAAATATTTAATTGATTTTCAATTATTTCCCATTTATCCTAACCGTGATAGTATTTTCATTTAGGTATTTCCCTATTAGCATACATTTTGTTTTAGAAGTATTAAATTTTAGTTTATTTACATTTAGCCAATTTACGATTTTATCCAAGTCAGAATTTAGCATTTTTAAAGCAGTGTCTATATTTTCATCTGATATGTATATTAATGTATCATCTACAAATATCTGAAGTTTACAATAATCTAAAATATTACAAATGTCATTAATGTATAAAATAAATAGTATGTCCATTTCGTTTACTACCTTGTGGTGATCTTGATAATGTAGATCCAATTTTGGTTTTTCGACTTCTGTCAATTAAATATTTTTGTAGAATTTTGAATACAGATCCTTTAAATCCGTAGTGATGCAATTTTGTAAGTAATTTATCCCAGTCAATAGTCTCAAAAGCCGTTTTGAAGTCCAAAAACACTGTTACTGTATGTTTCCGATTGTCCATACAGTCCTCTAAAACCATTTGTGTTGCCGTTTCAATTTAGTGTTCCTACCCTTATGACTAATTTAAAATTTTCTTTTGTCCACCTGTGTACTGTTTTTGTTGAAGAGGAAATTTGTATTACAGATCCAAAAGCTGTTCTCCTGGCTCAAAAGGTCACAGAGACAGAAAACTGGACTCGTACGCCAACGATCTCAATGACAGCTTCAAGATAAAGAACACGAATGTAGTAGCAGCACAGTCTCCAAGAAAGAAAGATAGTAAGTTTTCTCTACGATCGCCATTGATCAAAAGAGAAACCAAAGTGCAAGTTGATAGAGATAGGTTGAATAAAGTTCACTCTTTGGATGGGACTCATGTTTAGGTGTAACTAGTTGGTAAATCTGACCAATCGAGTAATCAAGCAATTGTTGAAGTGAGATTTGTAACTATTAGTTAAAAGATTAAATCAATAAAGTTGGACCAAAATTGATGCATCATCCATGTCAGTATTATATTAGATTCTTAATATTTATTTCTGTACTTAGAGAAGGATTCAACAAATTCTTTTGTCCTGCAATTATACAATAGCCCAGTCCTAATGGGATTTAATATCACAAGTTAAAATTTAATGTGTTGATAATTTTCAGCAATAAAAATCTTAAACAGTTTTTTCTCAAGTATTTTATAAATGTATAAGTATCATAATGTGAGTAAAAGTTTTTTTTATTATTTTGGCTACATCATATTACAGAATTAATTGACTGTACGGATTCAAATTCACTTTACATTTTTCATTTTTCTAGCCTTTTTTACTCAATTCCAATTTGTACTGTCATTATTTTCTGAAGCAGACGTACTAGTAGATTTTATGACATCGTCTGTGTTATTGTGGTAAATCAAAAAAAACATTTTAAGAGAAGTTGATGTAATATTTTTCTAACATAAAACTATTGACTTTGAGTATAAAAGAGAGCAAGAAAGGTGAACAGTAGAGCAGCATAACATTTGTTCTGCAGAAAATGCACAACATTGTGATGTTTTAGAATTTGATGTTTCCATTATCAAATACTTTAGATTATAATTACGTTAATTTTATTGTCATAGTAAACTTATTAACAATATATGGAATATGTATGTGTAATGAATGTATTTTTTTAAGCATGAAACAATAAACTTATGTTCAAATGTTATGTACAATATTATTTTATTTCAAGACCCCCTTCCGAGTATACATATTAATCTAGGAAAGTTTTGCTCAGCTGCTAAGAGGACAGTTGGTCTGGCCCCTCTAGCTCTCAGTCAAAAATCATATTGTTAGGAGTTTATTAGCTTCAGCTGTTCAGCAACATTGACAAAAGGTAGAGTGTCCATGTCGCTGGATAACAACAGAGTGAACATAGTGACGTTAAAATGTCGTCATTTTAGGGCACTACTGTCATACGCCGAACAACAAAAATGACGTAGAAATAACGTCATTATGACGGCCTAATGTCACAACCAATTGACGTCACTATATCACGTCGTAGTACGTCGTATAAAAGACCAAATACAATACGATATGACGT